GGAAACCAATCTTGGCTGATCTGCAGTGAACGTAATCAATGATTCGTAGTGAATCACCATGAGCCCCAGAAACAAATTCATCCTCGACTTCATAGGTTTCTGGTACTTCAGTTTCCCAATTCTCAAGTGTTTGAACCCTTTGGGTCAAACTAGCAACATGTTCTTGGAGAGCAACCAGTTGTCCCATCATCAAACCAACCCTTATTCGCAAGTCCGCGTCATTTTGTCTCAATTGAATTGCTGTGGATCGGGGATTAATGCTTTCAAGTTGTTCCCTCAGTAGCCGAACTTCCTCTTGCAAAGCACTCTCTCTCCCGAAACTCTGCTCTCAATCTCTGGTCCTGGTCGTGAAGTGCTTGTGCCGCATTCACCTGAGTAGACGCCACAGCCTGTGCAGCACTTACCTGAGTAGAGGCAACAGTTTGTTGGGTCCTTAGTTTGTTTTCAAGTACGAGTCGCCGAGCCTCAGACTGCATTTGACTCACACGCTCGTCAGCATGGTGCTGTATTCCACCAACGTGTTCGGCCGCTTGTGCTACTATTCTCTGTGCTTCGGATTGCAATCGGTTCACCTTCTTGCCGGATCCTACCAACCTGTTCGGTAGCCTGGACCGCAGTAGCCCTTTCCCTTATCTGTGAACCCAATACCTCTGAAGCAGCAGGCCTCACAACCTGTTGCAGATTCAATTGCTGGTGACTTGCAGAACCTTGGGCTCCTGATCCTCTAGGCATATCCTGTCTTGGCCTGGGCCCTGATGCTGACCTTTTAGTGACACGCCTTTGGATACCTACAGACCTAGCCGACGACGACCTCGAGTCTGCCCTTTCCTGGCCATTACCTGGCAAGCCAACCACACCCTGAGCAGCAGTTCCCGACGACAGCGACATGTTGAGAGAAGAATCTCCACTAGTCCCACTCGTTGTCATTGTGCTGTGCTTCATGCTTTTAATGCCTCCAATTTTCAAGGACGCTCGAAGAAGGGCCGAGGGAACTCACGCGGCACGCACTTGCGGTCCACCAGATCCAGGTAGTCCGCCACAGTGGAGACGCTGTCCCAATTTCCTCAACCCCTTTGACACATATACACCCCCGACGCACGATTATTCAACACCTTGTCAATGACTTGCCATTTATCATCGAGATGTGCAGTTACCGTGTCACGTCTTAAAATGGGTTTGAGACGATCCGAAGTGATGCAAAATGTCACAAATCTTTCTTCTGGGATGCCGCTATAGCCGCTAGCATACAACCACCTGTTCAACAACTTCACCTGGATTTTCAAGGCAGTCCTCCTTTCACGTGACTTTTCCCCGTGCAAACCGATATACGAACAAATGCCAACACGATGGGATTCTGACCTTTTAAGCCAAACACGAATGGCCTCTCCAGCGTTGTATTCAATCCGATCCAACTGTTTCAATCCAGCTCTTTCAACATTCAAAGTGTTGTTATAGTCAATTGACACCCGAACCTCCAACTTGGGGCTAACCTGAAGAGGAATTGACACAACCAAAGGATCTTCTTTCGTGAGAAGATTACGAGTGGTTCACTCAACTTTGGGGCGCCCGCCTTAAGGTCACGAACTCCAAGAGGCGCTTTTGGCCCGACCTTAGGTTCCGGTACCTTGGCTGTGACCGGACGAGCCTTCTTCACAATTGCCTTGGCAACCACTGGTGCCTCCGAGGCCGAAGCAGGTGAACCAACCTTTGACTGAGCAGGCGCAAGAGACTCAACCTCCGGTGCGGGACTTTCGGGACAGGAACTGCAGGTGGACCACCTTTGGACTGCGGAACATTCAGAACAAGGGCAGCAAGTGGACCAACTTCAGACTGGGAACCTTCGGAACAGCGGACGGGCTTGACAAGATACTAGATGGTTTCAACGGAGGTGGAGACAGTACCTCGGAACAGCGACGATGCGAGAAGTTCCCAACACAGGCGAGGGGGCAACCTGGGAGCCAACCGACGCAACAGGGGGGGACAACCGACCGGACGTCTGACACAGATGGGGGAGTGACCGGGGGATGCTTGGAGCTTGACGAAGCAGACGCAGCCACTCCTTCCCCTCAATCACTACTTCTATACCTTCTCGTCCGACAGGTCAAGGTTACGACCAGGGAAGTCCGGGAATCCACTATCGTCCGACTGAATTTCCTCAATTTCGTCTGGAACAACAGGTGGTAACCCCTTAGGCTCCAAGTACTCCTTATACTTCCGTTCAAATAACTCCTTCTGTTTTCTGGCTTTCTTACCTCCAAAGCGTGGCTTCCAGTCAAGATCGAACTTATCCCTAGGCTAGGAGGGTGTTGAACGTGATACCCTGACCCACGACCACCACGCTTGCCCATGTGACCCGCCACAGAGGCTGGAGACACACGGGTTGCAGGAGAGATACAGAAAGGCCTATGAAGCCAAGCGAGGAACAACCAGTGCGCAAACAGCGAGTAGAAGACGAAGCAAAGCTACTATGGCAACAGCACAGGGGAGCTCTACGGCTGATAACCTAACTTTGTAGGCTTCAGCAAAGTGCTAACTGCAGCCAGCGGAGCGCCTTTTCTGCAGTGGCTTGAGCCAAACACACCGGTTTAGCAAGTTGAGTGAATCACCTGAAATAGCGTGCTGAGCAAAACGAATAAGAATACATTAATTATTATTAAATCATTACTATTCAATATTTAGTAATTTAATAACATATAATAATATAATATATTAAAATAAATTTCAATATTTCTTATGACCTTCCCATAATTTAACGCAGTTTAACCTATTACTATATTTAACTTCATTTTTTTCAAATATTTATTGTTTTTATTTAGTTTATTATTTATTATATATATTTAATTTGTTTGTGTATATATTATTGTATTTAATGTATTACTTTGAAAATTATTTGAATTTATATTTTTAAAATTGATAAACATTCCTTGCGCATAAGAATCCAATCCATGTATGTTGATGCTAGTATATTTCAGTTCCCTACTGGTACCTGCAACTGGGAACTTTGGGCAGCGGGAGAAGCAATGCCGTCAGTCAATCCAATTTCCACAGGAATTTGAAATTCAGAAAAAAAATAGAGGCGATGGATATATATATATAAATACTGTTCAGGGTTGAGTCTGTAAGTGCCAAGCCCAGCTTGCTCCTCTTCGAGCTTTTTCCTGTGCAAACAACTTCCAGTGAGACATGACGGGGTTCCTGCTGTGATATAACATTGACAGAAACAAACACGCATCTCTTGCTGCACAACAGCGGCACCCAGTGTTGAGCGGGCCTAGACAGGAGAAAAAACACATCGGTGGTATCCCAACATCCGCAGCGTTTTATTTTTACAAATCTTTCTGAAGCGTGCTGCAAAGCCAAGCGCTGGAAACACCTCAGCTGGGACTGCACCAAAGCCTCCCAGCCCTTCTCCGAAACCTTCTCTGGAACCCTGTTGAACCTGACCTAGCTCTGCACCAAAGCCTCCCAGACCTTCTCCGGAACCTTCTTCGGAACCCTCTTGAACCTGACCTCACTCTGCACCAAAGCCTCCGAGACCTTCTCCGGAACCTACTCTGGAACCTTCTCCGGAACCCTGTTGAACCTGACCTGGCTCTGCACCAAAGCCTCCCAGACCTTCTCCGGAACCTACTCTGGAACCTTCTCCGGAACCCTGTTGAACCTGACCTGGCTATGCACCAAAGCCCCCCAGACCTTCTCCGGAACCTTCTCCAGAACCTGGTTGAACCTGACCCGGCGCCTGCACCAGTGCACACCAGAGCTATTCTGTGCTGAAGACCAAATTAGCCTACGCTGTTGGGGAAAAAACATATGACAGGTGACAAACGTTGCACATACATGCACATACCTCTATATATATATATGTATACACATACACACATATACATGTATAATAATACGTATATGTATATATTACGTGTATATGTACGTATGTAACAGCTATGTCATAATGTAATAATCTTATATGATCTTTCTTCCTCAGAAGTGGATAGAAGTGGTCTTTTACTCTCCCACTTCTATCTCGCTTTAGAGTATCGCATGACAGCAAATTTCATCAGATTTCTATCTGTTTAGGACATTTTCGGACAGCGGTCTGATCTGTAAACCAGGACCAAGTATTGCCAGCAGGGATTGATCACATTTATCAATCAGACTAATTCTCCTCATGAATCCCAGTCCGCCAGAATGATCAGCAAAATGAAGTGTCATCTCTATACTGGTTGGTTGATTGGGGCTCAATTAAAATTCAAGCCAAACTCTCCACCGCACACACACACACACATACCAGGTGAGCCATGAAAAATACGACTGGTAATGGTAATCCCTACGAACTGAGTTATAATATGTTATAATATGTTATCATGTTATAATAATCCAAAAGAAACACGTTTGGTCAATGGTCCCCTATAAGATCACCAATCAACAAGGGAACTTTCCAATGGCTCAGGTAGCTCCCAGCCCTTCGCAGCCTCTCCCACTCCGAGGCTTTCATCAACCCCGTGGGGCGAGGCTGGGGGGCCCGGAAGCCCTTGGGCCCTTGGACCTGCGGTCGAACTATGTCCATGACTTCTCCAACCCAAGTAGAGGCTCAGTTGTCTGAGCCCATGGCCAGCAGCGCACGGGAAAACGGCACACCTGGCCCAGTTGGAACAAAAACTGCCAGCGTTGGGCCATTTCCAACCCATTGCCCAGAATGTCTTAGAGGCCGCGGTATCGTTTGGAAGAACCTATATAGAGGGGGAAAAACATATTCATAAGCGGCTCAGCAAGAAGAAATCAATGTCAACCAATGACTGTTGTGCGAATGTGGCACCTTGCCCTCTGCCTTGCTATTTGAGATTATTGGATGACATTCCAACAGAAATAGTGGAACTGACCCTCGTGAAAACAGCAGGCAAAGTAGTTGCAACACGCATTTTCTCTTTTGCGCCAGCCAAAGATTCTACATTGCCTAAATTAAATTGTGGATGGGCCCGTTTCAAATTCATTCAGCTGTGGGGTCAGCTTGCTCCAAAGCTAAAGCTGGGAAAAAAATCCGGCGGCAGCCAAACCAGAACCTCATTGGCACAGAGATCTTTCTTTGGCAAATGGGCCGTTTGGATCCATGCAGCCAAATCTCCAAATCTCGTTGGCTTCTTGTTAAAGTTAGGTGCTACCAGTGTATGCATGTAATACATGTGACATCCTGAAAGACAGCAGCTGAGCAAGTAGATAAACATATACTGTTCAGGGTGGTTCCGCTGTGTCCGCATGTGTTGATATTGAAAATTGAGAGGCATCGACAAATGTGCGGCATGCATCCCCCACCCCCCAAAAACGAAACCAATTGATGTAAAAGCACGAGAATCTTCTGAAACGGTAGTGGTCTCGGAATGTTCTGACCAACATGAAGAGCAATAAATATTTGGCATTATTTGGCTACAGTGTATTCATTCAATCTGATTACCTGCTACTGTACCTCCCCAAATCCAGTTGAAAAGCAGATGTGATGCCCATCGCCAAGGAGAGGTTACCAAAGTATCGACCTCAACCGTAATCAGGGCTTGGTAGCAAGCCCTGATGGCCATTGATTGTACATCTGAAAACGCAGCGTGCTAACCAATGGCCACCGTTTGGCGGGGAAAATCGGGGAAGTATTGATTACACACCTTCAAACATGCAGTACTAGTAGATTTGGAAGTCGAATAATTGCTGCTTATGACAAATATGGTTGAATAGCCTTCCGTGAATCAAACATGGCAATTGAACATTACCCATTGATGGATCATTTTCTCATTGAAACAGGCATTTAGAGGGATTTTGGATTGCTATGTTTGATATTGTTTGAGTACCAATGGTTGACAACATATGGAGGTTTCCTAAAATGGGGTACCCCCAAATCATCCAAGTCTTTAGACCATGACTCAGTGTTTGAATCCCAGGGTGACTTGGGGTGCCATTATTTTTAGGAAGATGTGTCTAGAAGTAGGGGATGCCCCACAAATGGCTATTCAACGCTTTTAAATAGGGAAACTGAACCAACCACTGGACTGGATTTGGGGTTACCATGGGTTACCCCAGGTTCAGACCCTTGTTTCGCTTCGAGCGGCAGAACCAACGGCCATGCCACTGCAGTGGGCTCTTGAGCCAGGGAGGCAACGCTTCCAATCGCTTCAGTGTGCCTCGCGACGGCGGAAAACCGGCGTAACCTCCAAGTGGTAAATCCATGAGCTAGACTCGTAGACCTGCAATTTTGGATGCACTACACCATCTACCTAGGAAAACTATGGAAAAGTGGGATTTTCTACTGGCTTTACCATTTTTTTTGCCCGGGGCTTGACCTGCAATGGACAATTGCCAGGACGAAATCTCTTGGAGATATCTGAGCATACTTCAATCATCTTCAATCTCCGATGATTCCTTTTGGTATTGTCAAGTATGATCTTCTTATCATGGGCCTTCAACTTCAGGAGGAAAGAGCTGCCAGAAGATTGGCTTATCACCTAACTCATGTGGGATCCATGGCCTTCGGAATCTTCTACGACCAGAGGTGCAGGTTCATGAAGGCCTGCCACCCAGGCCCAGGCCACAGGAACTGCTGGGTTCAATGCCACAAGCCTCTTGGGGGGATCAACTGAATCGAGCGCTACAAAGACACAAACACATCAAGAAACATCTATGAACATCACTCGGCATCAAACAAAAGCAGCATTTTTTCTAAAGACCTTGGGGCAATGTCCTTCCCCAAACATCATCCATCCAGGAAACCCGTCAGGTGGCACCTATATGTGCGGCAGCTTTGGCCGCATCATCGGTGGACAGCTCCTGGTGCGATGCTGAAACTGGCTAAAACCTGCTGAGCAAATACACCGATCTGGGGTTATCTATGGATATCTATAGTTACACATCTCGTTTTTTCATGTTGATTCATGAATCAATTTCGGGCCTATGATTGTCTATGAGTCTGTTACCATGCCGTTATGAACCACTGGCGAGGCTAATCTCAAAAAAGGAAGTCCCCATAGGCAGCCCTCCTCAGAGATCGGGTACAAATCTCGCTGGCACAGCTCTTGGAAAGCCTGGTCACCATTGGTGATTCCATGGGCTGGATGACCATATAATGTTTTGACCATGGCACACCCACGTGTATATATAAATGTATACACAGACTATACATATATATATATATATCTGTATATATATATATATGATCAATGAACACATGACATTACCCTTCTCTTCTATTCAAGACCAACACCCCCAGCTTATCCAAGGGACTTCATCATCCAGAACAGTTGCTATCTCTCCTCAGCTCGCACGTCAGCGAGTGAACCCGTGTAGATCACTTTTGGGTAGTGTACAAAGTACATGGAGCCGTAAACGCACATCTTCGAGAACTCTTCTTAACCAAGCCAGTCCATTTCGTGTATGTTTGAAGTATATAATCATTCCGAACTGTTGGGCCTGGGACATATTGAACAATTATTGACTTGCTGGCACATGGTTAGCAATGAGATGGAAATCTCTCTGTCTCTGACACCCTTTTTTAGCCACCCTCCGATCATCCGGTTCAGACCCGTCTGCTTGACGTCTCAATCCACCATCAAAAAAATTGGAGATCACCCCATCTAGGAAAAAAGTAGCTGAAACCATACAAGGTTCCCCTGTGATTTGTTGTATCCTATTCATTCTTGTTATATATCCATTTTCCCATAATTGTTCAATTTCGTTACTTAAATCACCCTTGATGGCTGCTTTATTCCTTGTCTTGATCTCTGTATAGATAGTTATATGTGTATATATATATATGATTAAGTAATTATATATGTATTATATTTATATATGTGTACAGTATACCATTAAAATATCCAATTCATATCCCGATTATACCTCCGTATCTCCCACTATTTTCTGGCTATATAAGCTAAATCTCAACTTCCCATAGATATTCGCAACTTCCCAGTACATCTCTCTCCAACAACAATTTTTTCTTGAGGAAATCTCGCATGAACCCTCAAATCAGTGGGAATTTCAGGACCCTAAAATGGAGGTAACATGAGGTAACCATATAAGGCCATATTTTCTGGGGATATTCATATATGGTAGGTATTGGCAGGTACCTCCAGTTTAGCTTCCTGAGATGGCTCCCCAGCTACCGAAGCTTCGGTCCACCTGGAAAACCCCTGTGGCCAACATCTGCCGCAGCGACACGCCGCTGCCAGCATCAGGCGCCTGAAGAGCGACGAGCAAAACGGCAGGCAACAAAATAGGTCAATGGAGTGATTCAAGACAACATAGAAAATAATGGAGTTCACCTAAATTGACCAGGATCTCATTGAAATGGTGGAGTCAATCTAAATCTTACCACTGAGGTTTTTATGAAGATTTCACCGCAATTGAACATGAAAAATTGTGGATTTCACCAACGGATCATGGCTTTTCTAATGGATCAATGGATTGGTTGAAGGGCCTATCTACGGGCTGGTTTGCCCCAATTTGTTGGGGTTCCCTCCAGATGTTCTGCTGATTTAAGTCTGGAAATCGCAAAAGTGACTTGAATTATACTGTTACTTGATATACTTGAATACCAGACGCACACACACATGTTATATGTATATTTGTGTGTAACTATATAAGTACTTGTGGACATCTTTGGAGTAGTCCATCAAAAACACACCACCGGTCCAATGCAACTAATATTTGGGCGCGGAATTAAGTTGGCATTTTTTTGTTGCATTTTTTTTTTGTTTGGGGTTGGGTTCCTTGCTTTTTCATTGTTTTTCCAGCAGTTTTCATCAATTTTCCAATTGTTTTCGCTAGTTTTCCAGCGTTTTTCCTCCATTTTCCATAGTTCTCTATGATTTTCTAGCGCGTTCCATCAGTTTCCATAGTTTTCAAAAATTGTCTAGCGTTTCCCACCGTTTTTCGATGGTTTTTCTTCGCTTTTGCATTGTTTCTTCTATGTTTTTCTATATTTGTCGTTGCTTTTCTAGCGTTGTTCATCCGCGGGAGGAGGGCTCTTTTCAATAATTGTTGAGTATATATGGGTCTTGTTACTTTGTTCTTGTTGTTCCTCTTGTTGTTGTTGTTGCTGTTGTTTGTTGTTCTATTTCTATCGCAGTTATTCCTCTGTCTATTGATCTATCTATCTTTTAATAATTGTTGCGGTTGTGGTGCCGGTTGTGGTTGTGGTTGTGGTTGTGGTTGTTGTGGTTGTGGTTGTCGTCGTCGTCGTCGACTTCCCAGCAAGGGGAGGGTCGGATTTAAAAAAAAAGCGGGTGGGCAGCGCCTCCCCCCGCAATGCGTCCTATGCGACTTGCACCCCGGCGTTGTTTTTCTCCATTGTTTGGATCGATTTTGATGGTGTTATTTGCTACTGTTGCTGTTTGCTGTTGTTTGTTTCTTTAGGGTTTCTTTAGGGTTGTTTCTTTAGGGTTTCATTTTTAATTCATTTTTAATTTTGTTAGGGCTCGTTTGGGCTGTCATTTAGGGTTTCTTCAGGTTTTCACACGCATCAACTCACATAGATATAGTAGGAGGCCAGATTCAACAAGTGTCCTGAGATACTTTTTTCAGACATAAAAAAAGAGCTCGTTAGGACACTTGGTGTTGAAAAAGGTTGCAGTTTCTCTCCGATAAGCATGCATATAAACTCAAAGGTACACAGGGAAACTTCTGACTGCCATGCAACCATTGTGAAACACAATTCAAGCAAATATAGTTGGAGAACAACAGTTCAACAAGTGTCTTGAAATAGGGTCTTAAGAACTTTAGGAACAGCAAGTAGTTGGGACACTTGTTGAAAACAGGTCTCAATTCCTCTCACAACAGCATGCACGACTGTAGTTTCTGTGCAGTTTACATGCAATTTATATGCAGTGTATTCTATGAAATTATGAAATGTTAAATGCAAACTACAATACTACACATACATTCAACAGAGGTGCGGCCAAAAGCCAAAAGCCAAGTGAAACCAAAGCAAAAAAAACAACAAAAACCAAAAACCAAAAGCCAAGAGTCAAGTGAAGCCAAAACCAAAAGCCAAAAGCCAAAAGCCAAATGGGCATGCAAATTGGCTCCAAACTGCAGCAAATAGCACGCAAATCAGAGATTTTGGCTCCAAAATGCAGCAAATACAAGCCAGAAACCAGAAACCGAAGGAGCCAGAAGCCAAAAGCCAAAAGCCAAAAGGGCATGCAAATAGTCTCCAAACTGCAGCAAATAGCACGCAAATCAGAGATTTTGGCTCCAAAATGCAGCAAATACAAGCCAAAAGCCAGAAACCAAAAGCCAAAAGCCAGAAGCCAAAAGCCAAAAGCCAGAAGCCCCAAAAAAAAATGCAAAAAAAAATACCCCTCCCCAATATTTTGTGCAAATTCACATCTGCAAGTCCAAGACTCTTCGGCCTGCGACCAAAATCCAAAATGACCAGAAGTAGCATCAGCCGGCAGTCGGCTCAGTATCTCTTCCCATCTCTGGCTCCCAAGAAATTGAAGACTCCACAATTTAGCGCCATTTTCATAGGTAAAACTATAAACAGGAATTAAGGCAAACAGGTAATGTTGGGCTATCCAATGGATCTCAAATGATCTTTGCCCGATCAAGTAATTATCTTCCGCCTTAGATTCAAGCTGGATTATTCAAGCCATCTGGGCAAACCTGCCTTGGCAGGGCTGAGCAGCAAACGCCGGCTCCATGGTCCTGCCGATGCTTCAATGACTCAGGTTGGGGAATGAACTGTAGCGGTCCGACCCTCAACAACAACACCACTGGATGAGATTTTGAAATGGGTGCTGACAGTGCTTTATCAATCTATCAATCTATCAATCTAATCTAATTTAATCTAATTAAATCTAATTTAATCTAATCTAATCCAATCTATCTATCTATCTATCGATCTATCTATCTATCTACGTAAATATACCAACTAGTTTTGCGCATTTCTTTCTCTCTCTTCTCTTTTTCTGCGCATATATATATATGTATATTTATATATATATATATTATATTCCCTCAAAGTCGAACGGAGTTTGACAAAAAACAGCACTAACAAAAGTCAACACCCTGGCCATCCCGCAGCCAACTCCCAGCTCGGCCTGTCTCAAGATGGATCACCACGGTTTCATCAGGCTGGGACCTTTCAGACCGGATGCTGGAGCCCAAAACAAGGGGAATCATTTTCAAAAAGATGTATGACTAAATGACTACAGCCATCTTTTTTTTAGCGGCACTATCCAACAGCTGCAATCAGAATTTTGAATTTTGGGATCCAAAAATGGTTGGATCATCTTCTCACCCCGAACAAATTCGCGCCTCGCCGAAATGCGGGTGATATGACGCGCCACCAGGTGGTCGCGCAGGAAACAGTGGTACCACCAGATGGCTCCAGCATGCAGCACCAACACCTCGGCGTGGTGAGTATCCCAGGGTCACCCCGAGTATCGTGATGAATGATGATGAATTGCTATTAAAAATTATTGAACTAATTTAAAATATATGGACGTGGATTAACAAAATGGTACTTCTGGTTACTTGATGTTACTTGGCCGTGCCTCCATCCATTGAGAGTGCTAAATGCTGGAAGAACCCATGAAGCTACCCACAGCACGTGGCAGTAAAGGACAATTTTGACAGTTTGACATTCGCGAGGCTTGAGCTGCGCCCTGCCCCCATCTATCCCGACTTCACCGCTGCAATGTCTTCGAAGCTACAAAGTTGCTGTTGGCCATGAGCTGTTCAGATGCCTCTGGCGGGTGAGGCATGTTGGCGTGCGCCAAAAAAATGCCGAATCGTCCATGGATTGATTTAACCAAATATCTACAGGAACCGACAGGTGGTCTTTACCCTTCAATATAGGGTTTTCCTGCCATTTTTGCCCATCATCCGATTCCTGGAAACGGGAAAAAAACACATGACTCTCTCTCACTTTTGGAGGAGTGGTTCCATTTGAATCTTCACATTTTCACCTGGAGAGGTCAGGTGTTCCGTCAATGAACCACACCTTTCTGTGACCTCAAGTTCGGGAATGCCAATTCTTGAAGCTCCCTGCCAGCTGTGAATTCGCCATCAACCCTAACCCAACTCCAGACAGGCTAAGTGCAGACTCAGACACGGATAAGAAGTCCTCAGGATTGAAGTGATTCCCCAGCACTTTAGCATAGGGTGCTGCTATCCTTAGCCCCCAGTTCAGCCCCATCAGATCATCAGGGTGATCATCAGGGTGATGCCAAAACGAGCACGGCCCGACAACGAGTCACGGTCCAAGGCGCAAATCCAGTGCCATGGCCACTTGAACTCTGCGCCGCATGTCGTTGGCCGCCTCCTCCAATCCTGCGGATGTGCAGGGCAGATTCGCCAACCATATATGGTGATATATATATATGTATGGTGACATGACTATGTAATATATAATCACCATATATATATATTTGTATATCCATGTATCACCATTAAGAACCATTGACCCTGTCAAACACATGAGCTTTTAGCTGAGCCTGACTTTCCAGCGAAAATTATAGAACATTCATAGGATCCCATGGTGCCATGATGGAAAGACCTGTTGCCAAGGTAAGACCTCTTCACCGATTTCACTGCTGGAGTATCCAGGTAACGATGCTGGGTGAAATCCGATACGCCCCGGGATGGTTTCAACCCCAGTGGGCCTAACACATAGTATCCCTCTGTTATATTTCACCTGGGGCATGTTCCCATCTATAATTGACAATTGTGTTTCTTCCCGGCTAACAAGTCCAGATTCTGCCAGTTTTCATGATGTGAGATCAAAAAGGAATACCATCCCCATGTATCCCTACATGATCCCTCATAGCCTCCACATGGATTTGTCTCAAAGTGGGGTTTTCATGCTGGGTAACTGGCTTCAAGTGGCGGCTCGCTTGTGGAGGAAGACTGGTGAAACAATGCTAAACATACATAAAGGTTGCCGCCCAGGACGGGGATTGCAGGGATACCTTGCTAATTGAAACAAGTGAAGTGCAGCAAGCGCAAGTCTCCATTTTTCCCTCGATGGGGTCTGACTCAGAGACAAAGGCAAATACTGGTTGATCCACACAGTGGGTGGCACAGCTCGTTAAATCGAGGTTCAAATTCCCAAGTCGCGCGTCGCAAATGCAAGACGTGTGCGCGGCGCACATCTTCGAGTAGTCATTTGGGTTAGGGTTGTGCTTTACTGCAGACAGCGCCTTGCTCTGAAGTAAGCATGAGGCTTTTGAAGAGGCTTCCGCGAAGGGGCTTGCGCCAAGACCAGACATAACAGCAGAAACATCATATCAAACTAAGAAACGCATTGATTGCGAGGAATACCATTGAATTGGGAGATTTGGAACATAAATGTCTACAGGGAGAATTAAACATTGAGAGATCAAGTGTGACAAGCCGCTCGGGGGAAGTGGGGCACACCCAAGAATCCAGTGGCTTATCACCACTCTCCCAATTTGCTTATGGCCCCACTTAACTTATATTGCCAGTTCCCAATTACACAAGGACTCAGACAGATTTTGGATGCTTTTGGAGTCCCCCACTTTGAGGAGTTCCATATTTCATATTGGAAGTTCTGAGCCATGGTGAACACCCTTGATACATCTGGATTGTTACTGCTGATCTTAGTAGTCCTACCTGACAAACTTCCTATAGATGCGAGTATAGATGGGATTTTCAAAGCTGCCTACATGGTTTGTTTGGGAATTGGGTAGGGTGCACCAAAATTTGATGGTTTCTCATCATTCCCCCCATGAAAATTGCGATTTGGGGGCATATTAAAATAGCAATTTGGGTGTGCATGGGGGTGCACATCATTTTCAGACAAAGCCCTTTGCAAAAGATGAACAAGCACATACAAGTACTAAAGTAGCCATCCAAGGTGTACAGTACCCAGGCATATATTATATCAAGATATATCAAGATATATCAATATATAAATATTTAATATAAATATAATATAAATATAATATAAATAAAATATAAATATAATATAAATATAATATGAATATAATATAAATATAATATGAATATAATATAAATATAATATAAATATAATAAATATAATATAATATACATATAATATACATATAATATAAATATAATATAAATATAATATAAATATAATATAAATATAATATAGATATACTATAAATATAATATAAATATAATAATAATAATATATAATATATATATAATATATATATAATATATATATATATATATATATTATATTATATATATTATATATATATATCCTCATTTTTCTTTGTTCTTCCAGCCGAAACCCATCAACTCCGCAGCGCATTCGCACCGGCGGCACCTTTGCGCCGAAAGACGTCTCGCAGCGTCGGCTCCGTTGACTCCGTCCCCATCGCCGCTCGTGCTCCAGCAGCCGCTCGCCGCGCAGGAAAGACATAGCGAAGATGTCGCATCTGTTGGGGTTTTGAGGGAATAGAAGAGTTATCTGTCAAACTGGAAGGGACTCACTTTTTTGAGGTTCTTATAGATATTGCAAAAATCAGTGAGACCCCCATCACCTTTAGTAAGTCAAGTACTTTGCATCTAGAGACTCATACAGACTCTTTACTCGTGTTTTTAGATACATTGCAAGTTCTGCGCAAGGGGCTAATCACTTGCTCGCAGGGGCTCTACTCTGGAAAGTTGGACTGTGGCCCGTGAGCATGAGATTCTTGCCATGATAGTTCATCATAGTTCATCATGATGTTCTTTGCATGCTCCGTCGCTCTTGCGATTTCACGTCTTACAAGCTCGCCTAGAAGCGAAACAATCCCGATCTCGCAGAACAATGAACGCGCTTGCGCTTGCAAGACCTATCGCAATCCCTTGCCATCACATAAGAATGCTTTTCCCTGTCCACCTCATGCGCATATGTATCCCTCTGACGGCAACTTTCCGAAATTCTGGCCCGAAATTGGGACTGGCTGCCCTCTATCCCACAGCGCCTTCCATGAAAACCAGTTGAAAATAACCACCTCTCCACCAGGCATCCTCTAGAAGTGCCTCTCGCAGAACAAGGTGGTGCAGCGTTGGAGGGGTTGTCTCCTCCTCTGAGTTTCACACAATCGCAAAACCATGCAAAAACCATCATTAATTTTCATGAATCTTCAAAGCCAGAACTGCTTTGCTTGATCCTGCAAGCAGGGTGAAACGGACTGCTCTGCGGCCAAGCAAAGGCCTCGCAATAGCCTTCATAGGTCTTGTTGTGATCCGGGAAGAAATGCGCCTGTTCACAGCCCGCCAAGGGCTTCATGGGAAGCAGCAACAATCAAAGCAAAGAGGACGGAAAAATACAGCTGGAAATGCAATAATCACGATACAAACACAAATAGATATGCAATGATATGCATAGAGATGTGCAATTAAATCAGCATATGCAAACACACACACATACACACACACATATATATAATATATGCAAACATATGTGATTATATTATATTATATTCTACTGCATTATATGTGTGTATCGGGAATCATTCATCTTTCGGCCACCCTGAGCCCTCCAACGCACTCGTTGCAAGGGACGATGGCTGAAGGCCTCAACGAAAAATGCTCATCACCATCCTCCTGTGATACATCTGATACACGATCCGTCACGATCATCCCACACAGGCACAAGAAAGTGCAGAAGAAACTGTATGGCTATTTATTGGCTATTTATTGCTGGTTGGTGGTATACCTACCCTTCTGAAAAAATATGAAAGTCAGTCGGGATGATTATTCCCAACATATGGAAAAAATGTTCCAAACCACCAACCAGATTGGCTATTTATTGGCTATTGATATAGGATTTGCTTTTCTATCCTATGTATTGTAGTGCCGTTGAATCCCAACGGGCCCCCCTTAGGAATCCCTAGGAGCTACTTGCAGTGGGATCCACTGAGATGACTGGGTGCCCCCAACTTCCCAGCATCTGCAGCAAACGCCAGGGCTGGAATGGTTGCCTCGAAGCCCATTGGAACAGCTGGGGATTTGCCAAGTTCCAACTGAACGGGTCTCACTGGGTTCGTCATTCACATCATCACCAAAAATTGGCATGAAACATCAAACCAAAACGAAACAATATCTGCAATATCTCAAACCAGCAAAATGTATCAAAAAGTCATTGGGTGTATATCTTTCATGCCCCGCTATTGTTGATACTCATGGATGCCTATGGCCCAAGTGTATCCCCCTTTCCCTACATTACAATCATTAGAATCATGATATTTATATATATATATATGTAAATATAACATATAACATAACATATAATATAATATAATATATAATATAATATATAATATAATATAATATAACATAATATAAAATATATATATGTGTGTGTGTTCCATTTTTATTTCTATATAAAAACACTTGGTTAACATTGATTAACTATGTATACACATCGGTATGACCTTGTCAGGATTCAGGTGCCTCATCGCCATACAGCGACACCACCACCGAAAGCTGCCACATTTCGGGATGATCGACCTGTGCTGATTGGGAGACCCGAAAGGTGTTTGGACACACCAAGAATTAACAGCAATATACAGGGATTAAATGGGATTAACCTTGTTTGATGATCTAATCAGATTGGCCCTTTGGGAACTGATACGAATTAGTCATCTGATTCAACCCCGGCGGCGGCACTCAGCCAAGACACGAGGAATCTCTCGTCGAAGTCCCTGCTGAAAGCGGACAACTTTGCTCCAGTTCCACGCCTGGAGGAACGGCTTGACATTCTGCTGAAGGCGACCCCGATTATCTTCCAAGATTCAAGAGCCATCCTCTCCGAGCATCTCCCCAACTAGAACGGAAAAAGAACATGATCGGATCATCGGATCATGATCTTACCAGAACTGTGTGGGAAATGAACAGCTGGGGAAATTCTGCATGATAGGAGTTTTCGTATGGGAAACCTTGGCCCGCTGGTGAACACCAGCACAGCTGGGAAATGGATATTTGATGATATTTATTCACCCCAAAATGGTATGATAGGTTTTGTTGATGTTTTTTTGATCCATTCCGCCCGAAGCTTATTTAGTCACTTGCCAAAAGCCGCCGAGACCAAGTGGATCCAAGTGGCGCCGATGCCATGCAGTCATTGGACCAGTGAGCCTGCCAGCCAACTTGATGTGGTCCATCCAACTATCCAATTCATGGCAAATGATCAAAACTCAACAGCCTAGATATATGTATGATATATTATATTATATAGTATGTATATATATATCTATACTGTACGTAACCGTGATATTGCAATAATATATAATTCAATATATATAATACAATGTAGCCCTATCGCCACATCAGTCATTTGACTTTTTGGTATCCCCTCACATAGGTGTTTTTTAGGCAATCCCCCCAGTCCTGATAGGGAGAAGGGTGCCCCCCAGTTCTTGTTTCAAAAACCCCCGCAACGTTGCGGGTCGAGGTTGATACCGATGCCTGGGGATCAAAATCATCCCAAGGTGTTGCAGCTGCATCTATATATTTATCCAATTGTATCTATCTATCTAATTATCTAGTTGAATTTTTTGAGACTTCACCGAACTGAAATGAGATCTTTTGAGGGATTGCCCTTACTAAACATCTATGGAAAGGCCCTGCACTTCCCCATGTGTATGCAACGGCATGTAGGTATATACCTCTATAGTTCTATAGCTATACAGGTATACACGGTATACATGTTTTTATGCATGCTGCATATGTGTACATATTTGTGCATGTATAAATATGATGTTATATCCACCGTTATCTATCTATTTATCTGGGTAAATTATAACAGTTCACAAACCTGAAATAAGGCTATATTGGGATAATTCCCCTTACTAAGTATACTTCCAGTGAGGTTGCGGCGAGATCGTTATAATTCACCCGGATATATCTATCTTCATATGTGTCTCTATCATTCTTTGATTTCTATTGTTGATATGTCATGATATGTCCATGGGCTAGAAGAGAGTTGACCAAAGCTGCTGAGCCTTACCAGTCACGCCCCAGGTTGGATCAACCACCTGCAAATGAAAATCATTCAGCAACAAAGCCATCTGAAAATATCTGGGACTTGAGGAATGGAATAGCATGCAATAGCCATAATTAGCTGGATTTGTATAGTTTTGTCACATTCCAATACATTTCATTGTGTCTCACCATGATTCATCAAGTTTCACATCTTTCCACCACGAATGGACTCCTCGTCATGGTCCCCTCGGCACCGTCACAGAGATGCCCTTGGCCAGCAGTGCTGCGGCCAAAAAACCCGGCTCGCCACCGACCTGGGCACGGCTCGCCAACAGGCCCGAAATTGCAGGCCCGAATGGCTCGTTCAACATGGTTTACCCTCTGGTAAACTAACATAGCTATGGAAAATCACCATTTTTCATGGGAAAACTCACTATAAATGGTGATTTTCCATAGTTATGTTAAATTACCAGTGGGCACCCTTGTTCACTATATTTCACCATTGTTTAAGGCTGTTTTGCGTGTCTCATCCTGTTAGCAGTAGCAACTCAGTAGCATGCTTGCAGGTTGCAAGCACCCCTTCCCATTGCCATGCATCCAAGTAGCGTCCAAGACACCACCCCGCAAAAGCTCCATGCCCCAGTGTCGGATCTTAGCAGCCACCATCAATGACCATTGGCAACACGGGAACCATCATTCCTTGGACACCTGGAGCACATGTTGGAATTTAACTTTCTAGATGAAGTCCTTATGGATCCTCTTGGGGCAACAGGATCTTTATCTTTCTACCTCCTTGATGTTATAGGGTTGTTTGAAAATAGGGCACACAGCACTCAATCCATCCCTTTTTCTTAAACCATATGTTTTTGGGAAGATCTTTCCCATTTTTCCCAGATCTATCAACGCCATTCAACGCCATAAATTGGGGGCCCATCCACAGATGTTTTCCGGGCTCCTGGCCATCCAATCCACGATCCAATCTGCTTCGTACCTATGGCCAGGGCCGGTGAATGTGGATGATTAAGCACATGAAGCAACCCAATAAGACAAACATGTTGAACATGAACACCTGGAAATTATATGAAATTAGGAGGTAAACATCATCTCTCGAACAGCTTTGGAACATTTTGTATCTGGGGTTCCCTAATATATACAGTGTTTCATGAACAGTTATGATACTTCATTCATGATGTTTGGCCGTGGGCCAGTGCATCTTTCAGGGGTTAGCCGATGATGGCCCATGGCAGCCAGCTTGGAGCCTCTTGTTCTCACACCAGCTGGCGCCAGCCGGTTCTGCGATCTGGGGCGCCAAAAAAAAGGTCGCAGGGCTAGGGTAGGGCCAAATCCTCCACCAGTTGGTAGCTATTGGAAACTATGAAGCACGGTAAACAATGGGATTATAACGAGATAAACCAACTATTTTCACAGTGTAACAACACTTCTATAATTATAACTCCTACCAAGTCATTCTGGAAGTTCCTTCGCAATGAAAATACGACTGCCCTCCAGACTAATAGTTTATTGCTATGGAACATCATGATTTTTCAATCTTTTAATAGGTAAATCATGGTAAATCATCGAACTCCATGGGCCATGGCATTCATTGCAAACTGTTTGCTGAGAGCAGGGCCCAGTCCTGCCACTCTTTCCTTGGCCGGGAGCAGCTGCAAGGACTGCGCGGGCTGACACACTCTCCCTCTCTGTGTCTCTGTGTCTCTGTGTCTCTCTCTCTCTGTGTCTCTGTGTCTCTCTCTCTCTCTCTGTGTCTCTGTGTCTCTCTCTGTGTCTCTGTGTCTCTCTCTGTGTCTCTGTGTCTCTGTGTCTCTGTGTCTCTCTCTCTCTCTGTGTCTCTGTGTCTCTCTCTCTCTGTGTCTCTGTGTCTCTGTGTCTCTGTCTCTCTCTGTGTCTCTGTGTCTCTCTCTGTGTCTCTGTGTCTCTCTCTGTGTCTCTGTGTCTCTCTCTGTGTCTCTCTCTGTGTCTCTGTGTCTCTCTCTGTGTCTCTGTGTCTCTCTCTGTGTCTCTGTGTCTCTGTGTCTCTCTCTCTCTGTGTCTCTGTGTCTCTGTGTCTCTCTCTCTCTGTGTCTCTGTGTCTCTGTGTCTCTCTCTCTCTCTCTGTCTCTGTGTCTCTGTGTCTCTGTGTCTCTGTGTCTCTGTGTCTCTGTGTTTCTGTGTCTCTCTCTCTCTCTCTGCTTCTTTCTTTTCAGAGCCGAGCGATGTTCCTCAAAACTATCTGTCAGGAATAGTTCAAGCGTTGATCAATGGTGGAGTAATTCTTGAGAATGGGAGGTTCTTAAGTCATGGGACACTAAACATCATAAACACATGTATACACATATCATTTTTCATGGAGGCACCCATGGTATCCACGGGACCATATCCAGTGATGCAAAATCATCTAGTGGAAATCCAAAATTCACGGCCTACGGCAGTCAAAAAAGTCACCTGGACGTATTTTCCCGAGGATCAGTTGAGCAGGTTGAATCAATTTGATTTTGATCATTTTTGATCTTCCAATCGTAAATCTTTTGGTTTCCGTATGTTTCCATCACATGTGAAACCATGCGCAATGCTATTCAGTACCATTGAGGCGATCAAGGACTTACAGTACCCATCTACTCTGATGATGATGATGATGATGATCATGATGAGGATTATTATGTATATATGTTCACCCCATCAGCATTAAACAAAAACATTTAAAAAAACGATGAGCGCATTTCGATTCTATCCCTTCATGCTGCCACCATTCCCTTCCCTTGGCCCCGGTTCCCCGACGCAGTCCAGCCCTGGTAACGCGGCTCCGAGCACCTGGATTTCACCATGGATGGTCTGGATGGTCCCATGGGGCATTGAAGTCATTGAAGCAACGTTTACATGGGGATTATTTAACCATGGATTTAACCATGGATTTAACTATGGATTTAACCATGGATTTTATTAATTTAACATAATTTAATCATCACCATCTCTCTCTCCATCGCCTTCTCGAAGAGTTCAGTTAAGCCATCAATAACCAGCTGCTTGATGCTGGCGTTGAGGGCCAGGCCGACGCCACCATGCCTTAGATGCCTACAGCGCAGCTGGACACTGATGATCTACAGTTACAACTGGTGATATTATGGATGATACAGTCTCTCAATTGCTCGCCATGTTTTTGGTTCATTTTTTATAAAGTATACATTCATGATAGCCATGTATCACCTGTTTGTTTCATAGGTATTGGCCAGGAACCACAAAATGTAACTCTACACCTTGTTTTGAATATTCATCAGCAAAATGGCCCGGATAGCAAAGTATTGCACCTCAGAGTTCCAACAGCATCATCATGCGCGGCGCCCGGGACGGCGAGTTTTCCAATGTTTCTCCCAGCTTGTCCCTTGCGAAGCCGCCAGGCTTGCTAATCTTGCCCGGGAACGATCTTGGCACACATTCATGCCGTACTGGACCAACCGAGCCATCACAAGCACAGCCATGTCCACTTTACCGGAAGGCATGTGCTCAGCGTGCAAAAGGGAACCAGGCACACCCACCACATAAGTAGTTGTAGCGCGCTGCCAAGAGACCTGTACAAGGTACATGCCACGGAGACGGCTCAGTTGCAGGTCGGTGAGGTTAGAGGGCCCAACTGATACACTCTTCATCCAAAGGTCTGGCAACTGAGCCATTTCAACCTCTGAACCCGTGGGTGCCTGTGGGAAATCGACTACCATTGGGCCCGCAGCTTTGCGGCTAACGATTCCACATCCAACATGTTTCAACAAATGTACTGGGGCGATGATCGCCTGACCCTTCCGGCACATAGAACCACAAGAAAACTACGGCTCCGGCTGCATTGGCCTGCGTGACCTACCCACACCATGCAAACCTCCACATGATCCAACGAAATCCAACGGTCTTGGTGCCATTGAATCCAGAACGTCCAAATGCGGCAGCCTTTGCACGCCAGCATCACGTTCAAAACTGCAGGGAACTGCAAATTGGAATGCCCGGAATTTTGGGAGGTGATGTGGCTGAAAAATACACCAAACACCCTTTAAATAGGTGCAAAAACGCTATAAACTATAAACGATGATGTTGCCATGACTGCTTGGAAAAGTCAAGGAATTCAACCATTCGCACCATATCATCCTTGACTTGCCATGAGCCTGGTCCGAATCGTATTTGCAATTCCAGTCCTCAGTCCTCTAAGGTTCCAAAAAGTTCTTTGCGTAATCTCTTGGATCGTGGCCTGAAGTGGGCAATTTTTTTTCTGCAGTGATTCTGCAGGGGCAAAAAGCTACGGATTCCGGGACCTTATGATCGGGTCGTGTGGATAGAGATCTTCTACAAGTAGGATACCTTCTCATTCTCTTCACATGCCTACGGTTTTTTTCATTTCATGTTTTTTCATGTTTTTTCTCATGACGTATATCGGTCTCAACCGCGGAGTTCTGAGCCAGCTGCTATTAGAACCACGTACTCCAAGTGAATGTCATGGCCATCACAAAATGTACTCCGCGACAGCGGGGAAGTGATTGCCTCAAGGCAAAAAAAATAATGGGGAACTGAGTGGCGTGCATCGTTGCTAGATGATCTTGGCAATCTAAGGATCGTCCCCAAGACTGCAGTGGCATTTGGATATTCGTGGTGTATGTGTGTGACAGTGCGTATACTATAGTATACATATATCCATATATATATATATACACAATGTATACTAAATGTATACATAGTATACATATATTTGTGGGGTATAAGTGGATATGTATGTATCATGATAATTTTTTTTGATGAGAAGAGATAAGTTGGTGCATGCAACGCCGTCAAAGGACTATATATATGTATAGAATACTGTGATTTTTTGAAATTGAGCTACAACATTGCTCTTGCGTGCCGTAGCAATGTTTGTTTTTTAACCAAGTGTTTCAACAGCACCTGATTCATTCCTCTCCCAGAGCGCTGCGCTTAAATCATCTCTTGACTCACCTCTTCCCGAACACATGTGGACAATATTGGTCAACATCCCAACTGTTTGGGAACAAATATGTTTAACACCACCAAGCAAATCTTAAATCATCCCAAAATCATCTCAAGTCATCTTAAACCCACCATAAACGGCCATAAATTCACCATAAATCCACCAATTTTGTTTCAACCTTGCCAGTTTCGGAGCCCTTTTCTCGTAGCAACGGCACCATTTAGGACCCCCATGGCGTTGCGGAACTCCATGATGCCCTCGCCAGGGTCGGAAGACGACTTGCCCCAAACCTTGGCGCTTGGAACTGCTAGTGGGGTTAAACCATCTAAACCATATCCTAAATTTGGATATGCTATGATAATCTATGACACACTGAACTCTATGATCATCTACGATAAACTGAAGGGGATCCATTTTTAGGATATGGGTTGTTGAATGTTTTTCACCAGTGTTGTTCGTTGAGTCTTCAAGCCACGGACGAGCCTATTTGGGGATCAGCATCCATGTTTTGGGTCAATGATTTTGATCCAAAACCGTCCAAAACCAATTTTGGACCCATTCATTTACTTTATTTACATATACACTGGTACAAGCTAAGGGGGATCAATTTATGGGTAATTAAACAGTTCAGATTCCATGGACAACTCTTACATGAGTGAATTCTAATTCATACAGCACGACTCATGCACATTCCCCAGTTACAATAGATGGGTGGTAAATACCATCCCCCAATGGTTTACCACATTACCGTAGCATACTGGGGGTAGTTGCACGAGCCACCATGTCAAGCATCCCCATAGGGGCGCTGCCAAGTGACAGAGATGAATTGCTGCAAGCTGGAGGACCAAATGGCTGACTTCACGTCCTGTCGGATGCTCACAAAAGATACCACCTGGTAATGTAACATAGCTATTGAAATTATGATTTATAATATTTTATATTTGATTTACATACCTATTAAACAGGATGATTTTCCATAGCTATGCAGCTATGTTAGTTTACCAGAGGGTGCCTACCATACCTCTCTGCGCAACTCCATTGTACGGAGACCTACTATGACAGCATGCCTGCATGAGATTGCCTCAATCCAAAGGCCCAAAATTGCATGTGGGAGTCAAGCTTCAGGGCACCTAGAATGGATTCGCAGTACTGAGATGTACCTGGCATTTCAGCGGCGCAGTGCAGCCCTGCACCTGGTGATTTCGAATGTCCACAGTTCGATATGCGATGCCGTCCACTTTGAATGCAATGAAGTTGTCGGACAGCTCGAACCTTATCCGGCGATTAAGGTTTCCACGCATCCCGAAACTCCCAAACCCCTTCCCCTGGAGTAGATAAAATGATAAACCAGGAGTTTTAAGCAGGAAGGGATAAGGTGGAAAATTAAAGACAATGAAACCATGTGAAACCACTGTCCAGCAGGTAGAACCCTGATCTTGCAGCTCCCATCCGTCCCAATCCCAGGTGTCACAACTGGTAGGCCCGACCCTCATATCCCGCCAGAAAGCCCATACTCATGAACTGCGGCCGTCACATCAAAGGGAACCGTGATCCAGTCATTGTGCTCCACAGCGATGTCTGTAAACATGTTGGTCCAAATGCGGGAATGGCCACCTACGACGCCGAGGACTGTGCTATGGGATGCTATGGGGGGTGCTATTTTTTTTTGCGAAGAAAAAGGATTGGAACGAAAGGACAGGACACTCACAGAGCTGATGCTGATTCTTGGAGTCTTGAAAGCATCTCCGTCTTTGTGCTTTGGAATTCAGACAGGTCGTCAATTACTTACCTGGTAAAACATGTACTACCCTCTGGTAATTTAACATAGCTATTGAACATGTACCATTTCTAGTTGATTTACCCATTAAAAATGGTGATTTTCCATTGTTATGTTAGTTTACCAGAGGGTATGTCACAACTTGTCCAACAAACACGGCTAAGGCAGGCCTGCGGTGTTCCCCATGATTTCGAAGTCCAACTCCACCCAGGGATGGGTCTTGGTCCTTGGCAGAATCCAGGATCCACAGCTCACAGCGATTTCCACTCATTTACCCTCTGGTTATGTCAAAATAGCTATTGAAAATGGCCATTTATAGTGGATTTTCCCATGAAAAATGGTGATTTCCCATAGTTATGTTAGTTTACCAGAGGGTAACTGATTGATGCGTTTTTTTTTCCAGGCTCGTTGGTGCACATATGGACATGTATCTTCTGCAGGCATTTTGTTGGAAAAGGACCGAATTGTTTGAGGGTTATGAGCCCAACGTGGCACCAATAGCCATGGAGGGCACTTCTAAGCGATCTTCATCAGTGCCTGCTGACTCATCTGGTTTGGTAACTGGGGGCAATCCATTCTATTCTCGGAAGGTTCAGCAGGAGTTCATGTTGCAAGCAGCTAGACCATCGAATTTGCCATCCCCATCAAGCAATTTGGAACCTTTGACTAGCGGACAAAAATCGGGAGGAAATCCTATGGTAGAAAACCCAACTGGGAAGGGACGTGGAAGTAGCAACTATGAGGTGAGACAAAGTCTTAGTTTTGAGACTCCACCCAGTAAGCTGCCTCCGCCTCCTACAGAAGGGAAATCTGCTGCGATGATGTCCGAGGGTGTCATGAAGGAACCAGAGTCTGCACTGAAATCTATGGGGCCGGTGAAGGGTGTTGCGGATAGCAGTGTGCCTGGGATGGGTGAAGATCAGCTTCAGCGTGCTCTTGAAGGGGAACTGGTTAGTTTTTTGCGTGAACAAAACAGCAAGTTGATGAATGACTTGGAGGAGATGAAGCAAAGACTAGCTGGTTTGGAAAATTCGAAGGGTGATAGTTCTATGTCCTGGTCAGAAGTTGGGGCACCATCCATGGGTTCTTTGGATGAACAACCTCGTGCACGTAGAAGAAGGGGCAGTAGAACACCACCACCTAGAGGGAAAAGTCCAATGGTTTGCAAGGAGTCCATGAGTCCTAGGAGGGCACGTTCTATGGGCTTGGATGTAGATCAGTCATGTTTGCGTTGCACTCCAAATGGTACAAAGGTTCCCGAAGGTCCTCCACCACCATGTGATGATGTCCCAACTGGTTTGCCACAGCCACCTCCTGTGCCACCTTTTCCTGTGGGGATTGAGGGTCCAAGAAATGGCGAGTTTTCTCCAAGGGCAGCTAGGGCAATGTGGTTGGAAAGGGAAGCTCATTGCATGAAGGGTGCTTTGGATAGACAAGTTGAAGGGAACCCAATCAAAGAAAGTATATCCTTTTAAGCCGACGTTGTGGGTGAATCTCTTCGTCAACCAGCTCGGGCTTTTGAGCACGGTGTGGGAGCTCTTCATGATCGGGCTTTCATGCATGGCGAAGGAGCTCTTCACGATCGGGCTTTCATGCATGGCAATGGAGTGCATCAAGATCGGGTTTCTGTGCATGGTGATCGAGGCCTTCATGATCGGGCTTCGATGCATGGCACTGGAGCTCAACCTGATCGGGCTTTCATGCATGGCGATGGAGCTCTTCACGATCGGGCTTCGATGCATGGCACTGGATGTCAACCTGATCGGGCTTTCATGCATGGAGATGTATGCCATCAAGATCGGGCTAGCAGGGATGCGCTGTTTCATCAACCTGGGAGTCCTCTATGGTATCCTGACGGTAAAGGGCAAGGGCAAGATCCGAAATGTGATGGGTCTGGATGGCATGACAATGGCATAGTCAGTAGCCTTAGTGGTCCCAATCCAATTGGGAAAGTTGAACTGCCTGATCTTCCAGAAGGTGCCACACCTTTGGAGTACGGTGATTGGTTGCATCTGTGTGGACCGACAATGCGAGATCTGTCCAATGTAGCGGGGCGGTGGTGGGAGCTCACGACAAGAGAGGCCAAAGCTTACTACATGCGCTGGAAAGATGCAACACCCCTCCAACGAGTACAGATTGTGCCGAAGTTGCCTGATGAGCTGCTGTTGCCTAGCTATGTGCGAACAGAACAGCGGGGTGTTCACCTTCTTTTGAAAGCAGTGAGCCAAGAACAACAACAAGAGCTGGTGATTGATCGAGACCTGACATCAACTGCAATTTTGTATCGCCTGTACATCCGACACCAGCCGGGTGGTCCTGGCGAAAAGGCGGTTTTGCTGAAAGCCCTCACCACTTTGGGGTCGACAAAAACCCTGAACGACATGGCATCATCACTGCGGAGTTGGAGAAGGCACTTTGGCAGGGCTCGTGAGATTGGCGCAGTTCTACCAGATGGATGTTTGCTCCTCAAAGCTCTGGAGATCTCTGGAGGGCATAGTGGGTCCACTCTCGCAGCTGGATGCCCAGTCATCATTTCGTTTGGCCCAAAGTCGAGTTCAGTTACAACTTGATGAGAAACCAACTCATGGTGCGTTGTGGGATTTTTCGCAATGCTTGTTGGCCGAAGTGGAAACCTTGGTTTTGATGGCACCCACTTCAACTACCAATTGCCAGGTGAAGATCAAGCAGATGGATGCAAGCAATGCAACTCCCACAGCAAAACCGGGGGAGTTTGAGAAGAAAGGGAAGGGTTTTTCCAATGCAGGCTCCATTGACAAGCCATGCAAATACTATGTTTCTCCTGAAGGATGTCGGGCGGGCCGCTCTTGCAAGTTTCAGCATGTGAGCCAACATCAAAATGATCGTTGTTGGGTTTGTGGTTCAACACAACATCGCAAGGTTGATTGTCCAGTTCGTGGTGGTGCAAAGCAATCCAGTCCTACCAAGTCTACCAGTGAAACCAATGCTGGTTCCGGGGGAGGAAAAGGGAAAGGTGGAGGAAAGAAAAGCGATGGCTCAGCATCCACTGGCAACACTTCCAATGCTGGTGCCAAGACCTCTTCCACATCGATCACTGAGAACAAGAATGCTGGTAGCCAACCTGAAAAGGATCCACAGCAAAAAAACACTTTGGAAGCCACAGTAAAGGATGAGAAGTCCAGTGGAGGAGTGGCAATGTCTGCCGCCAAAACGGGGGCTAGTGATTTACTGTTGGAGGCCACCAACCTGTTGAAGTCCATGCGTATTCCCAACATGAAGGTCATGAAGATCACCAACCTGAAACATGATGATCGAGATCAATGGATCCTGTTGGATTCTGGTGCAACTCATGGCCTACGTCAAGCTCATAGCCAAGAAGAGTGGTTAGCAGCTCAGGAAACAGAGGTCACGTTGGCGGAGGGTGTCACAAAGAGTTTGAAGTTGAAGGTTGGAACGAAACTACTTCTTGCACACCCTGAATCCCCGACATCTTGGATCGTTCCTATGAGTGGACTTTCTGAACTTGGCTATCGGTTTGAATGGCACGGTGATAATTGCAAGCTCTACAACTCTGAAGGCGCGGCGGTGGAGATTAGACTCCGTCATGGATGTCCTATGGTGCCAAAGTCTATTGGCAAAGGGATCTTGGAGGAAATGGAGCTGAAGCAGTTGAGGTTGCTGAAACGGGCCATCATCCTCAAGGCCCTTTGGCATGGCGTGGAGGTGGAGGAAGAGAATTTGAATGTGGAATCAGCGTTGCTTCTCAAACTCAAAGAAGTCTTCCCTGATTTGCCGGAGGAGCTCATGATGAAACTGATCCCAGACATGAACATCATGACCAAGGAGGGATATGGTAACCTCCTACCATGGAATCGAGCGAAAAGGAAGCGTCTTCTTCGAGCAGAAAAGGTGGTGCTTCACATATGTTCTGGGCCTGAGCATAGATTTTGGGAAAGGCACCTCAACACTGACAAGGTCGAAACTTTGTGCATCGATCTTGAAGGTCCAGTCAAAGCGGACATCCTGAATGATGCGGTGTTCAGCTACCTGATCGCACTTGCAGCATCTGGAAGATTGAAGGCTATTTTGGCAGGCCCACCATGCAGAACCTGTAGTGCCTTGCGATTCAAAGATGACAATGGGCCAGGCATCATCAGAACGGAAGAGCATCCATATGGTTGCCCTGGAATCAGCGAGAAAGACTTTGAGCTCGTCCAGAACGACTCGTTGATTTTTCTGCGCACATTGGCACTCTATGTGATTGCGGAGGAGGTCAGGCCACATCACGAGCCACAAACAGGTTTTGGACTTGAACAACCGGAAGATCCTGCGAACTACAGGCCTGAGAAAGAAGTGAAAGAGGTGGGGTTTATGAGCATGTGGAGAACTCCTGAATGGAAAGGCTTTGCATCGAAGTTCAACATCAAGTTGATCAGTTTTGACCAGGGTCCTATGGGCCATTCCAAACGGAAGCCTGCTTCAATGGGGGTTGCCCTACCACAAGCACAACAGCTACATGAACTTCGTGGCCCACCTTCAGATCGATCAGGAGACGTACAACTTGGCAACTTTGATGAGATGTCTCTGGATGATAGATGCGCCTTGTCAAAGTCATGGGCTGCGTGGGCACCAGGATTGAAAGCTGCTCTAGTTGCTTCGGTGAAGTGCCATTTGGATTTATGTGGCAATACTTCACCTGACCACTTGGATTTGGATTTGCGTGGTCCGGAGCAACCGAAAATGAATCCACTGGGTCCTGTAGCACTACGTCAGTGGCAGAAACACTTTGTCAACGACCACTGCCCTGCCAGAAGGGATTGCAGACAATGTATTCAGTCTCAAGCCAGAGGCCGCCCTCACAAACGACTTCAACATGCCGAAGCGTTCACTTTGTCTTTGGATTTGTCTGGCAAGATGACCCCTGGACATGACCAATCAGGTGAGCCATGCAAGTATCTCATGGTAGCGTGCTACACATATCCAGTAGATGGACAGGGCAAGTCGTTGATTGACCTGCCTGGTGGTGAACAACCTGATGATCATCCTCTTCCTGCACCTGATGATCCAGAGTTTGGTTTTGCTGAGGATGGTGGTGATGCTCCGCTACCACCCGAGGAGGAGGACTTGCTTGGGGAAGAAGTTGAGGGAGATGAGATACCGGAGGAGGACAAGGTGCGTCATGAATCCATGAAAGGAGCAATGTCAGTGTGGGAAAACATGATTGAAGAAGCCTCTGATGTGAGTGTACGCAGCTTGACCTTCGTGGAGGTGTTACCCTCACGAAATACAAAGCATCTGATCCCGGCGGTGGCACGTGTTTATGCAAGGTTGAGACAGTTGGGCCTCCCGGTCTTTAGACTCCATACCGACAGGGCCAGAGAACTGACATCGGCACCAATGAGGAGATGGACACTGGACAGGGGAATCATAACCACCTTTACAAGTGGAAGCAGTTTCAAGTGCAACGGCCGTGTTGAGGCCGAGGTCGGAATCATCAAACGGATGATTAGAACCTTGGTGTCCAGTGGATCATGTACGTTGACGCAATGGCCTTTAGCTGCGCGTCACTTGGGGGAGAGAAGGTTGCGATGTCAGTTGACGGAGGTGGGATGGCCTACGGGAAAGTTGCTTCGGTTTGGGGCCAAGGTGTTTGCACTCAAAAAGAGCTGGCACTCGCGCTATGAGCCTTGGCGTGACATCAGGGAGGAGGTCAAAATCCTTGGGCCGGCTGTGGGATCATCATTGACGTCCACATCATACTATGTGCAATCTTTGACAACAAACAGGTGCTACTATACCGATGATGTGGTCATACCGGAACAACAGCAACCAGGTGTGGAAGAGCAGGTGGTGTATCTTCCTTATCGTGGTGAACAACCTTTGCATTTGGCATCAGATCCTCCACCATCACGACGGGTCACTGGCAAATCTCCTCCAGTTGCAGTTTCAATGGCAACCATTGAGGGGGAGGAAGTGATCTTAAAAAAGTATGCATCGCTGTTTGAACCAATGTGGCGATCAACTATGGCAGTTGCACCAGGGGTCGCACGACAACATCCTGATGAAAACAATGCCACGAGCAGTGAAAGCGGTTGGTCTTTGGAGACGGTGTCACAGGGTGAGCAAGCTTCTGCGGGTTCATCGGAGGAGGATGGAGTCTGCGGAGGGGAGTGGGCGGAGGCGCCTAACGGGCGGATGTATGGTGGCGCATACCCGTCGGCCTCAAATCAAAGCTCCAAAACTGTGGCACTGAGAACACTGCATGCAAACATGGGCAACTACATCAGGGATGAGATGGCGATTTTTGATGCGACTGATGGAAATCAACTTCATTGGATCCAGCCTGTCACTGAGGCCATTTTGCAAAAGGTGACGGCGGAGGAAGAACTTTTGTGTTTGAGCGACACTGAAGAAAAAAGGTCTCAACATCATGTACAACAGGAGTTCCTGACCACCAAAACGGTTGGAAACAAGGAGGTTTGGAATAACTTGGAGGATTGGAAGCCATCTATCCAAAAGGAACATGATCAACTGGTACATCAGAAGAAAGCGGTGATCCAGGTCTCAAGGGAGCAATTGCGAAGACTGGCAAGCGAAAAAAAGGTGCCTATCGAACTTCTCCCAGGGAAAACTGTCCATACACGGAAAGCAGTGTCAGGGGCATTCCGAACAAGGGCTGTCATTTGTGGCAACTATGAAACTACGGATCCTGCTGATGACCTTTATGCATCTGATGACCGTTATGCATCTGGGGCTGACGCCAACCAAATCAGAGCCGCAGTTCGAACTGCAGCCACCAAGGGATGGCAAGTTGCTGCAACGGATATTCGTGTGGCGTTCCTCAACGCACCCAAGCGGGACACTTCCAAGTTGACGGCATGTGAAATTCCATCAGTGTTCAAGAAAGTTGGTTTGGCGGCAGAGGATGATGTATGGATAGTGCAAATGGCGCTGTACGGTCTTGGGTCGTCACCAAAAGACTGGAGCATCCACAGAGATCAAACTTTGCCAACACTCCGATGGGAGCGGGAGGAGGAAGGAAAGCAATGGATTGGAGCACTGGTGCCTTCTGGTGATGACAATGTTTGGCGAATGATGGAAGTTGACAAAAAGGTGGAAGAACATCGGTGGGTAGGCGTAATGACGGTGTACGTGGATGACTTGATGTTTGCTGCGGAGAAAGAGGTCATCGATCTCGTCTATGCCGCGATTTCTGGAGTTTGGGCTTTGTCTGACTTGGAAGTGGCGTCAGATGAGACTCCAGTCAAATACTGTGGTTTTGAGATCTATGAGGATGGTCAACATGATGGTTTCCACCTCAACCAATGCATGTATGAGAAGGAGATTTTGAAAAAGTGGGAAGTTGGATCCCCAATTGAGTACCCCAATTGTCGAGTGGCTGAAGAGGATGAGGTTCAACAGCAGGACATTTGCCCTGAGGACGTGAAGCGGGCGCAAGGGATTGCAGGATCCTTGCTATGGTTAGCCACTCGCACTCGTCCTGACCTATCAGTTGGGGTAGCAACTATGTGCAGGTTGGTGACGCGAAATCCAAGGAAAGCTGTGGAAATAGGCCAGAGCCTGTTGCGATACATCAAGCACCAGAAAGGTGGTCTTCATTATCCCCGAGGACCCTTACATGGCCAGTGGGGCGCAAGGGGACAGTTGAAGGTTGAAAGACATCAAAAACTCATAGAGGTATGCTCTGACATTTCCTACGGGGCCGGCTCAGGCTTCAGAAGCGTACAGGGCATAGTGGTTCTTTTGTCAGGAGCACCAATTGCTTGGAGCTGCTCACAACAACCATTTGTGACACATAGCACGGCCGAGGCGGAGCTGGTTGCTTACTGTGAATCATTAATTGCTGGCAGAGCCATGGAAGCTATGCTATGTATGATGTATGGTGAATCACTGAACAACAACGAGTTCCAGCGGCTGATCTATGGTGACAATGTGGCTGCAATAGGTCTTGGAAATGGCAATGCAAACACATCTTGGCGAACACGCCATCTTCGCATCAGGTCGGCCGTTCTACGAGAAGCTTTGGATGGAACCAGTTCAATCCCAGGGGGAGTTTGGCAGCTTCTGCACTTGCGTGGCAATGAGTTGATTGCGGATGGGTTTACCAAAAGTCTTCAAGGTCCTGCTTTTGATCGGTTTTTGCAAGATTTGGGAATGACCAAAGAGAAGAAAATCCAGAAAAGTGAATCTTCGATATCTGATGGCCATGGTGGAGCGCATCAAGCTGTGCTTGCGCTGACAGTTGGATGTGCCTTGCTCTCTCAAGCTGAAGCGGTGGAAAGTGAGGTGATTCCTTGGGATGGATTGGATGCAATGTGGATCAGTGGTGCCATGCTCATGTGCTTAGGCGTTGTCTATCTGGGAAACATGTCTCTGCAGCTGGCTCGATGTTGTCTTAAGAGGTTTTTCTATGGCGATGATGAGTCAGAAAGTTTGACAAGACGGTCGGGCTCGCATGGAGCAGGTGCATCAAACAGTATGAGGCAACGTTCGGGCTCGCATGGAGCGACTGCATCAACTAGTTTGACAAGACGGTCGGGCTCGCATGGAGCGACTGCATCAAAAAGTATGACAAGACCATCGGGCTTGCATGGTGTGAGCTCGTCGGAAAGTATGAGGCGACGATCGGGCTCAGCAGAGCATTTGCAGCGTGGTGACGCAGCATCATCATCAAGCGTTTCGTCATCACAGTCGGGCTCAGCAGAGCATTTGAAGCGTGGGAACGCAGCGTCTTCATCAAGCGTTTCCAGGCGACAGTCGGGCGTTTTGCATGAAAATTTGTCTGGCAGCTCAGAAATCTCTTCAAGTGATCCTCATGGGCGGCTGGATAGAATCAACCGTGATGGCATCTCTCAAGCTGGGAGAACTGGAACCGATAGACCGCGCTTAGCAGCTGCATCGAACGATCTTTCTGCAAGGCGTGACCCGGCTAGTTCACCCAGTGAAAATTCAGTTTCTGAAGCTGCGCAGAATAGATTGCAGCTGATGAATCCTTGGAACCTCTTTCAACATTTGCACCGTGGAAAGGGGTGGAGTGTTCACAAAATGGCCCTTGAATACGGAAAGGCCAAAAACTCCAACTTTTGAAATGCCTTGAGCCTGTGATTTCATTTCTCAAGGGAGTCACACAAAAAATGGTGTGCGAAATCTAGCATCATTGGCCGGAACCTCAGAATCCGACCGGATTCGGGGGAGCTCGTTGGTGCACATATGGACATGTATCTTCTGCAGGCATTTTGTTGGAAAAGGACCGAATTGTTTGAGCCAGGTATTCTACCATATGCAACCTGAAAAATGTATAAGCATGTGGTAAACCCAATAATAAACCACCAAGTCATCACCATTTTGATGGGTATAAATAAAGCCTCCCACGTGGTCACTTTCTGGCAGCCAGGGATGCCTCCGATGCACATCCCAGGCGCTTGTCGTACAAACCCCCGTTGTTGGAGAGATAAAAGGTGGACACCACTCCAGGGCCTCCAGCTGCCTCGCGATTGGACCATGACTCCATGACCTCTTTTTTTGCGGAAAAAAAAGGTGTAATCTGTCCACATTAATGTATATGATATCTAAAAGAATACATCTATCCATCTATCTGTCTGTCTGTCTGTCCAATATAATCTCATCTCACATCCAATCGAATCTATCTATACACGTGTATATGTATATATATATATATATTTAATATATATATATATGAATATGGTATCTGCGAGCATCTATCCATCCCATCCACTGCCACACCTTCAAACGGATGGAGTGGTAGCCTCTGCTCACGAAGTGCGATGAACTCAAGCGGGTGCCTTGGGAGTGACGTTTTGATGGAGAATGATCAACCCCCCAAAATGATAAAATGGGGCTGTTCCCCAGATTTCATAAGAGTTTTCAGGGGGTTTTGCAGGGTTTTGCCCCAATCAATCTGGGTACATCATCATAATTCAATAACCTGAAAGGCTTCTTCTCAGATAGTTACCCCTTACTCACCATCATTCCGGGGAAAACAGTGAGGTCCCTATCATTTGTCCAGATTCACTGCCCATTTTCATCGCGAAACTCCTCAAACTATCTCAAACTGGGATCCGCACCACACAGGCTTGAACTGGCGCCAGTGCATGAGATCCTCCGAGATCCAGGGAAGACTAATAGTCAAACCTCCCTTTAAAGATACAGCCCAACCCGCATCAAAGATATGGATTTTGTTTAGGTTTTTAACCAATGGACCATGGATAGTGCATTGTTTTCTAGTCCTGATGGGGATTCAACCAATGAATCATGGATCGGATCGAACATCGAAGGATTTACCACCAAAATACTGTAGATCTAAAATGATCTAAATAGCAGTACAACAAAAAACGCTAACCAATTTCAAGATATACGGGGCCGCAGGAACCAGGATAAATCACGATGAAGTGTTTCTTCATTCTGGTACTCTTCACAGCTTGTTGTTTTCATAGTATGTAACGCATCTATCGAGGTGTGATTTTAATCCATTGTTATGTGTAGACGTCCAAGCCGCTAAGCTGCGCAGCTTGGTTTGTTTTGATTTGTGGCCGGGGGGCTCTCAAGTTACAAAAGCAGCAAGCTATTTCTTGGGATTCAACTAAAAATATACCGTATTGTACCATATCATCCATTTGCAGGCTATGTATGCATAAAATCATATAAAATCTGCATCTACATGCATTTTACACAATAAACATCACATCGATTCATTCCTCCACCTACATAAATGATCATATATACGTAATTATACGTATATGTCTTATACCGATTGTACCATCCCTGCATGATTTGGACCACTCCAGCCGGGTCACTGTCGCACGTTGCCATGACGCTGACAATGGTTGGCGGAATACGCGACGGTCCAACCCCCACCATCGCAGCTGTTGGGGCAGCACACGCGCCAACAGTAGCTACCATCGTTGCTACCTGCCGTGAGGCATGGCTTCACCACTGCACCGGCTCTTGGATCAACCAAATGGAAAATGGTGACAAAAAAATGGGCATACCTTTAACATGCAGAATTATGCAGAATTATGCAGAATTAATCCATTGGTGTGATTTCTCAAAACTTTTTTTGGAAGTAAACCTATGGGATTAAATTTTGGTAGTACAAACGCGTATAATAAATCACTTTACATCTAGTATATTGTGATTTGGAAATAAGAATATATATATATATAAGTATGATATTCCATGATTGAACAGGCTAGCGGTACCCGATTTTAATCCATTTTAGACAAAGCCTCCCTGACAACTCAACAGTTGGTCAAACATATCCCGATGAAACATTCTTATTTTACCTGCATTTTTGTTGGCTACTAGTATGTATTACGAGTACCCTCAGGTAATTGAACATGGTGAAAACGGCAATGTCGATAGTAACCGCATTGCCAACCTACTTTCATGGGTCACAAAAGACCCTAATTCACATAATTAACCCCATTACACCACCCACCATGCTTCTTGGTTATATCGCCATTACATTCCCGTAAACATGGCTAGGGCACGCTACGTCTAAGCCAGGCCACAATATTGCCCATTGTTCGTCCAGGTGCAATCGCATGCAATGGCTCCTTCCAAATGGAAGCCTTTGCAAAAGGGTAGAATAATCGATTGCCATACTAATCAGAAAAAATCCAAATACATCCAAATACTACACACATACTCATTTTATCTCAGTTTGGTTGGTTGTTCATGGATAGTGGATTTTCAAAGCAAGGCTTCTGCCAAACCAAAGGTCTCCGTCGCAGAAATCTAACCATTTGGTGGGGGGTTCTCAATGATTCAATGGGACACCTCCCCGGCGGAAGCAGCCTGTGGCACAGTCCTTGCAGTCCAAGCACTGCACTGAAGATGCCAATCCAAATCGTCATGGGCCGATGGCCTCGAGTTGATCATCCCTGAGAGGAAAAACCTCGTCACCAATCATTCCTTTGGGTCGAAAAACAGGAAAGATGTGGAAGCCCCAGGAATCTGTGAAAACAGCAGCTGTTCAGAATATTTCAGAATACAGAGTACCCTCTGGTAAACTAACATAGCTATTGAAAATTGCCATTTATAGTGGATTTTCCAATTAAAAATGGTGATTTTCCGTAGCTATGTTAGTTTACCAAAGGGCAATACAGTATAAAGATGTATAAAGCTTCACCTCTCACCTCTGACTGGCGAGAAACGACAGTGTCTGGAATCGAAAGCGTCTCTTGGCAATTGGGCTTGAGCAAAAGCACAGCTGCAAGGGTCCAGGCACCATTGAGATACTGTTCCATTAATATGGTTGCGTTTGAACATAGGGCACCCCTGTTATACCCATAGTTTACCATCATTTTCCCTATTAAATATCCATTGTTGGAGTGTACCCCATTTCTAGATACAGCCAAATTAAAAAAATGATTAGATGGCCACATTTTTTTGGAAGGACTTTCCTGACATGGACCATATGCATTTCTATGTTACATACCGGAAATTTCCCCATCAAGGTCTTGTGGGGTCCTCAGCTCCATCATGCTGTATCTTTCAAGTTTACATCCCAACAAATGATTGTACCCATATAACAACCCCAACTGCACGTGCCTGGCAGCATGCAGCAAAATCTCGGGGCCTGACAAGGTGTCACGGTCCACGACCCGCGGGTCATGCCCATTTTTTCATCATTTTTTCACATTTTGTCCATCATTTTCGTTTCGCTGCACTGGGCTGAGGTTTGTTGGTCAGCTCCGCTCTTTGCGGTGCTGGGTACTTTGACCCTTCGGCGCCGCACTCGCACTACATACGCAACTCATCAGCGTTTTTTTGGATGCTAACAAATGAACCAGCAGCAGTCAACAGGGGGAAGATCATGCTGAAACCAAACGACCAGTGAAGTCTGGCTTCTTGAGTATTTTCATGTGTTGGCATATTTTGGCATTCCAACATTTCGGCCTGGTATAGTTGAATTCAAAATTTCATTCAACATTCAAACCTTTTTGAATCTTTTTTGGCAGCTCACTTTGTGCTGCATTTCAAGCGTTTTCAGCCATGTCCATGTCCCGCTACATCTCCATGTCCAGCGTGTTCATTGCCACGTCCGCTGTGTCCATCACCATGTCCACAGCAATCACCGCTATGTCCATGCGCAGCATGTGCATCGCCATGTCCTCCATGACCTTCTGCCAAGTTGAAAGCTGAGGTCTTCTGCAAGCTGATGATTTACATGACTTTATGTTGCTTTATTCTTCAGCACCTCCGGCCTCAAGCATTTTTTTTCATGATCAGGGCTCGAGAATATCTGGGCTCTAATTCTGATCATATCTGATCTTTTCAGTTTGAACTGTGTGTAGTCCATATCCCTGCCCATTTGGAGCTCAGTTAAACGCACGCTGACCTCTCTGAGATCAACCCTACTGCAATGGGATGCTGGGATACATATATGGACCATATGGATATGCCCTATATTTACTAAGCATCTGAGGTAGTAACTGAGCTAGTAGACCCATTCTACTATATTTTACTAACAATTTATAATAATTCATGCGGTGGCCTCAATACTAAAACCAACATCATGGGGTCATCGGGCGTCTACTCCAGGATCTCCCACTTTCCAATCATTTCTTTACCGAGTTGCCATGTCCTACGCTGGCTGTCCCCAGCAGTGCCGCTTCAACGTCTTCCTTTGTGACGTCGGCAAAGGCCTTGAAAACTTTGTAAACACCTGGCAAACACAGTGCAGGTAGGGTTGTCTGAAACAATGGAGATTTAGATTTTAAGATGATTTTGCAACACACACACACAGATATACAATAAGGATGCATATACAGTTATATACATCTTTATTCAACTGATTATGTTGGTTAAACATATTCGGGCTTTACGTCACCCGACATGGCAATCTAACATGGCAATGGAATGGAACAACCAAATCCCCATATGTCCACTTGTTATGGGCAGCTTTCCAGCAATCAAAACATGGTTGTTTTCATGGATTTTAGAGAATTCATGAGAATTATCAGTTCAACATATTCTGGTTGGTGGTATACCTACCCCTCTGAAAAATCTGAGTTCGTCAGTTGGGAGTATTATTCCCAATATATTCTGGAAAAAAACACATGTTTGAAATCAGCAGATCAGTTAGCAACTAATTACATTGAGTATATCATATTATATCCACATATGTCTGATGGTTACAACCCCTATAAATGATGGTTAAAGATATGGGGATGGGTCAAAACCCTGGTACCGTGCCGTGAACCCCAAGTCATAGCTGGGTTAAAATGGATGTTCATCCCACTATAGTTATGGTACTTATAGGTATTGATCCATAGCCGAAACCCCCCACGCCTGCGCCTGGCCTGGGAGCCTTGACGCCCAGGTCAGTGATCACGGTCTCCACCGGTGGACAGCCTTCCTCCGGGCAACGCACCTGGTGATCCGAAAACGACTCTGAAACCTGGGGATCTACATGGGCTTCAATGGATGAAAACATGGACTTCGGAAACCACGGTTTTTCCCATGAAATATTGGAAACTATTGGATAATGGATTGGTTTGCTGGAGAATTTTGCAGGCTAAAATGGCGTTTTCCCATGACATATACGGTTTTCCTCTTAAAAAACACAGTGATTTGATGTATCCGGAACACTTTTTTTGATCTTTTTGATGAGTTTTTGGATTTACAATGTTTTTTTTTTTAAAGTAATCCCATCACCAAAAAAATATTGAACCTCCCCCAGAGTCACCATGGATGGCGATTTTCACCACAAAAAATACCGTGGTTGGTCCCATGGGATGGTGCGATTTTCATATTGACTCAAGACATGGCCATCCATCATGGATGTGATATGGATTCTCCATGTTTTTCCAAGCCAATATGGGATATTTAATGGGATATTATATGGGATAATATATAGGATATGTGAGGAGGTTTTTGATGTTTCGGAGATGGACATCGCGTTGCGTTTCGGTGATGAGATTCGCAACGGATCACCTGGGAGATGGACCACGTGGTCTCCTTGCCCATGGAGGCAAAGATCTCATCGGCCCATTCCTGGTCATCACGAACATATACCTTCCACACGCACATGTGTACACACAAATGTGTGTGTATATATATATATGTATATATTAACAAATCTGTGTGCGTGTGCAAAAGTGATTTAATTTCAACAACATGCAATGTATATATATATAACAACATATAACAACATAATATATATATAATCGTATACCCAGTTTCGGTGACGACTAGTCATGACTAGTCCCCCATTCCCAAGGGCTGGGTATTTCATCCAATTCCTGGGCCAAGGCTCTTCAATCTGTTCTGAATCCACCATCCGCGGCACAAGCGCCGCTGGAAACGCACATCAACAGTGGCGCGAACGAACAGTTGGGCTGAGCCGCAACAACTGAAGAGAATACAAAAGAATTACAGCCTTGAAATTGAACGTGGCAGCATGAGAACTAGGATCTACTAGGATGCATAGCAGTCAAGAATCAATGATCTTCATCAAACGGGTGGTTGCACTCAATGTTTTTCCCTTCCGAGGCTGTAACATCTGCTACCAGTGGGTCGAGGGTCCTGCGCATGTTGCCTTTCGGATAACACTTTCTATACGATTGCAGGGGCTGCTAAATCGACAAAATGTATAGTATCTCTCAGCTCTCTCTCTCTCTCTCTCTCTCTCTCTCTCTGGTTGATTGGTTGATACCTGCGAAGTCGCAGGCGTCGCAGGCCAATGAAACGTCCTCCTTCCATAGATCTAGAGTCATATTACGTCCTACCATCACTTGTGTGGCAAATCCAAAAAGCCATCAGAAAGTCATCAGAAAACCGCTACACATTTTTAAATCTAATGTCAACCCCGGATTAATAAACCACGGTTTATTAATTAGGGGGGTACTCCAATAGTCATAATCCATAGTCCTTAAATGGTACCCCCCCAAGTAAACAGCCGTTTAGGGTTTATTGATCCAGGGTTGACATTAATTTAGCCCTCTATCAGCATTGGCTTCACCAAAAATGCTGCACCCATCTTCCCTGTCGAGGCGCCTGTGACTCGCATAGGGTTGGCTGTGACCTTGCCGTCCACTGGGGGTACCCCATGGGAGGACCGTGGTACTCCGCAACGGTTAAGGAGTGCACCCGGGTCGACCATTGACTCAAACAGCACAACAAAAGACACACGCCCAAGTCTTGCAGGAAACTGTGACTTTGCGATCCCCCTTTCGTCGTGGCTGTTTCGAGGGCTCCGATTGTCATTGACAAGAAAACAGATCGGTCTGTAGTCCACTGAAGACCAACCCTTGCAGGTAGAAAACAGGCCCAAAAAGGATACCCTCTGTCTGGTAATCAAACATGGCATTGGGAAATTCCTTAAAAATGGGTGGCGTAATACGGGAACTCTTCTGTAAATCCAGTTCTCCATTGCCATGTTTGACTACCAGTGAGAAGGGATTTGTACTGAAGTTGCAGCAAGTGGTAAACACAGCACCCGAGATCGCAGGAAAAATGCAACTGCGGTGATGCAATCGTGGAAACTCATGGTGGGTTTTTCCCAGGAACATTGCAAAGTGACGCAAAAATGTGGCTTTGGAGATGGTGAGTCACTGCACAAATTTAGGAAATTCATGCACTGCAGGTAACCCTTGCAGGTAACGTTGCAGGCATCCTTTTTGAGTCAAAATTTGGGTAATGATATGACCTTTTGAATTTGGGTACCCCTAATGATGACCCAAAGGAGACGATGATGACTGCATAATTTTGTATAATTTTCCATCAGTATTCAAGATAATCAATTATCATCAATATATTGGGTAAATGCACCAAATGCTTCACCATAAGTTTGAACATCATAATCATCATACTCATTTAGTTCGATGATAACTAAATCTCCATAAGTTTGATGACCAGAGGGTTTCTACACATCAACCATCAGGGATCCGTACGGCGGTGTTGGCACGTCCGCTGGCACGGCCCCCAATTTCCCACTTCCTGGTCATCTGGTGATTGAAATCCGAACAAGCACCAACGAAATAACAAGGGACAATATGTGTTATATTCACGTCGCTTCGCGACGGCAACCGCCCGCACCGCATCGTTGGGCAGCCGCTCGTAACTGCCAATGATGTCGGCCATTGAGACCAAAAACATCCGAAAGTACTGATTGTCGGGAAAAAACACGCGAAGAGTTTGATAGCCATGTATAGCGGACCAACGCAGTTCAAAAAATAACGAAAAACATGAAAAAACGGCGAAATTGCTGTTATTTACAGTGTTTTTGCGCGGTGAGAAGCAGAAACCACTGCAAATACCGTGGTGTTTGAGGGTCAGGTGGCCAAAAACACTGTAATTTACAGTGTTTTTTTAACCAACGTCAAAAAACACTGGTATTTACGATGCTTTCATTCACACCGTAACATAAAACAGCGTAATTTACGAGGTTTTTGGAAGTTTTGAAGCTAGCCGTCAAGCATGCAGAAAACAGAAAAACACTGTAAAAACCAGTGTTTCTGCTATCACAAAACGACGAAAATCAGTCCGAAAACGGGTCCAAAAACTCAAAAATCCGCCTCCGGGCCCGGCCACCTGCGGAACCGCAAAAAAAGATGTTGCAAACCAAAAAATTGAGGTCAAAAAGTTGAAAAACACGTGTCTTCCGTACTGTTTTTTACAGTGTTTTTTGAAGGCGAGCGTCACGACCTATCAAAAACAGGAGGTTTTGGCCGAAAAATGGTGCCCCCCCCCCCCCAGGTAAACCTGTAACCTTTTACGAGTGCCATCCGGAAGATCACGCCCCAGCACCTTCGGTGCGGGCGGATTTTAGAAGCCAGGTTGGATTCTCAAGCGGGATCATCACCTTACAAGTCAAGTAAGGGATCGTGATCAAATCTTACGCTACTCATATGGGATCATCATGCCACAAATTTGGGGAACGCAGAACATGTTTGAAACCACCGAGCAGTCAGTCATGATTCGTCATTCATCAAAACTTTGATAACCCCGGGTGATCATTTGCCCAAATCGTCATATTTTCCTGCATGGTCCATGATCCACCGGATGAATGGGTGGATGTCCTCCTCATTGATGTGATGAGGTTGCTTTGACTGTGCTGAAAGTCAGCAAGAACAGTGGTTAAACATCAATTGCACTTTCTCAGGCGCTGAATGCACGACCATGCAAATTTCGTCGTTTAAATGTAGTGGAAAAAAGGAAGAAACAAAGAAAGGAAAGAAAGGAAGGAACATAGGGAAGGGATGGACATCCATTCGTGAATAGCTTGGACAGTGTAAGCTCCATACCAGAATCTATCAGAATACTGAATGGACCTTTGCAATCCATGACTGGATGATCCTGGATGCCCAATCTTCGCCACACTCACACCAAATAACCAAGAAAAAGAAACGACCAAACCAACCGAAACCAACCGAAACCAATGCAAACCAATCCACCCAAAAACAAAAACTGAACTAAACCAAAGCAAACTCAATAAAACTGAACAAACAGTTAAACAGTTAAAAAGTTAAACATCACAATACATAAGATACATAAGATACATAGGAAAACAATGGAAAACATTCAAAAAAACAAACGAACAGAACAACCCAGTTGCACATGCACCGAGGCCAAGCCACTGCCACCAAACTGGGAGACCTCGACAAAAACCGGTTGCAGTTTCCCGGTGGTCAAACAGCTGTGATCACAAAATATGTGGTATTTTGGTGCTATTCTGATATTTCATGATATTTCGCTGGTATGTTCTCTCGTTTTATCAAGTCTCTTCTAAGTTGCCCTTTTCTTGCACGCTGCGTCAGGACATGTCAGGACAGTGGCGCACGTTCACTCCGGTCCTTTTTTCCTGGGCCGTTCACACTGACACGGGGGATCCGAGGCCACTTGGATCAACTTCTTTCAGTTGTCGCTGCAGTTGCGTCATCATGGTCTTGACATAACCAGTCTTTCCCAAGATGCGGAGCAGAGATACACATTTGGACGTCCTCCTTCTGACTATATAGGTCTTTTTTTAAAGCATGATAGAGTATATGAATGAATTTCCATGCGAAGTCATATCCAAACAACATCCTCATGACGATCATGACGATGATCATGACAAGAATGACGATGACAATGATGATGCGAATTTAATGCCTGATAGGCCCACACGGCCACCAAGAAACAGCAGGCAGCCGTAGTCGGTACTTTTTGTCGCACCAAGCGGCGGCCAAGCTGCCAGCACTGCGCAGCAAAATCTCAAGGTTCTTTATGTGGTCAGGGAGCCCCGCAGCCCAGTTCAAAGTCTCGCAGTCATTCTGAATACAGTTCTTTTCTGATCTTCATAGGGCACATGCACACATATAATGATGCATGTATAATCACACACGTATATATATATATATATGTATTACATATATTACATATAGACGGAGAGCGAGCGAGAGAGAGAGAGAGAGAGAGAGAGAATATTTTCGACATTTGCCGGGAACAAGCCAAGCAAATGGCTATAAATAGTGGTGTGGCCAACCAAAGGAAATCTATTGGAATGTTTGTACGTCAAAAAAGACATCCCCGGCCCCGATCCATTCATGGTTGAGTGGAATCACCTGCTCCAAATGCCAACATAGAAGCTACGAACCTCATGGCAATGCCATGTCCAAGGGCCAAGGGTGGCCCCCACAAACAAATTCACGTAGTGCCTCCTTGTGAGAGCACCGATCCGCTGCAGCTTCCAACGCAGAACTTGTCCTCGAGATCGTAGCCTGGAGAATGCAGACTGAGATTGAAGCTGTTGAATACTCCTGAAACTTTTTTCCATTTGCCACCCAGAAAGCTACCTGCATCAAGTTGCTCGGAGCATCTCCAACTACAAGCAACTACCAGCACCAGGGATTGCATCATCCCCATCCAGCCTCAGGGAGTTGCTGCTTCCTCCTCCAAGATTGGCTCAACTCGCGGTTCCTTGGCACCTCCCAGGCTGGACACCCACACCTTGGTAGCGGAGCTGGGGTCACAACTACCCTACACGAACCCGCATGTCTTTTTACATTTTTTTTGGAGATGCGCCTAGAAATCAAAATGACATCTACCATATATTTCAAGATTTCAAGAGATTTAACCATTTAGCACATGACATGCCTCTTGAATCCCACAACAAATCGGCGCCTCCATTCCAACTTTGACCTCTTTGACCCATCCCAGCCCATCCCAGGGCCAAGGTGCCATCATGGGAATGCCACACTTCGCAAAGGTATCTGCAATGGCATAGCCTCGGAGATTTTTCTTATTTTTTCTTGCAATGGATGGCCCTGGAACAGGAGGAACGCGCTGACCTCCACAGACCTAAACCCTGCCATCAAATCCATTCTTCTTTGGGTGTTTGAAATTGGTCGGAATGTTTTAGAATTCAGCACAGAAACAAACGTGGCCTTGACTGAAGGAAAAGCGACAAAACGGCAGCCAAGTTGCCAGCCACTTCGATCTCCTCAGGAAAGGTTTTGGTGCCTTGGAACATGCGAAGCCAGGTGTGCTGTAATGGCATCTCCTGCAGCTCCCTTTCTTGGGATTGGGTGCATTGGGTGCATTGGGTGCATTGGATGTTGGCCACTGCTGGCCACTGTTGGCCACGAGAGAAGGTGCCCAAGAGTTCCCCAGCTTTTGAATGGTGATTTGGACACCTGCAACCTGCAACGTTGCCCACAAGTCCCTGTCAAGCGGCACTCGCACAAGGCAAACATCACCGGATACATGCACCAAATCTCTGCCTCAGGGCCAAGTGCCTGCTTCAAATTCAGCATTTGGTCAAGATTTCATGGCATGTCGCCGATGGGGCATACCAGCATACCCTTAAAATCTGTAATCTAAGGGAACATAAGGTAAAAACATCAATACACAAGTTGGCATACCCTTACCCTCTGGTAAACAGACAAAAAACTATGGAAAATCACAATTTTTAATGGGTAAATCAACCAACTAAATGGCCACTTTCAATAGCAAACTGTAAATGTTTACCAAAGGGATGATCATTTTCCTAGAAAAAACCATGAGTTTTCCACATCTATGCTGGTTTACCCCAGGGCCCCAGGGTGAGTTTGCATGAATTGTCCATTGATAGCATGAACCATTTGTGAAACATTGCCATTTTGGATCTACTCAACGATTTATCACCATCCTACCAGTACACTCCCCATAACCACCTACAGTATAGGGCTCCTTTCACTCCCTCACCAAGTACGAGTCATTGTGCATCATCATCCCAGTTGTCCCAGTTGTAGGGATGGATTTCTAAACAACACATGTTTGAGCTGTTTGGAAGCTACCAACCAATTACACATGGCAATGCAAAAAATGGTTGCACCAGGCTGACCCCTCTACGAGGTGGTGGTACACTTATAAGGTGGTTACAATTACCACATTAACTATAGTTGCAATCGCCATAAACCCGAGTTCACATAACCTATACACCAACTTGGCTAGGTTTGGAGCACCACCAATATCATTCATCCCATTATAATCCCATGAAACCGCCATGGCTTTCCGTTCTGGTGGCAAAAAAATGCCAAAATCCCATGTCATCAACCAACCAATAGGACACCAACCATTTATGGCTTCGCGCCGTGCGGTTGGCGACAAAGGTGTACAAGACCTTTCGGTCTCCTCCTTCAGCATCATCGTGGGCAAGTGACGAAATGATGATAAACCATTGGAATTTTTGGGTGCCCTATTTTCAAACGCATCTGGGACTTGAAAATCTTAAAATGAAGAGAAATTGGATGAACATTGGAGGAGTGAACAGCGAAAACCATAGATCAACTTCTGAAACGACGAGGGCAGTTCTGGAAACGGAGTTTCACATCTGCATGGCATGTATTTTTTCATTCAAAACAATCCACATGCCGATTCTGGATCAAACCCTGCCTTGAGGGTGGGCAACTGGACGAGGTGATGATGTGATTGATGTATATAAACACATGTAAACATATAGTATAACATTATATCTAATGCAAGATCAAATGCAATATAATAGCATAATATAGTAAAATAAATTAATAATATAACAAATATATTCAATATAATTATACAGTGTATATATATATTATTAATTGTAATTATTCAATACCCCTTCAATACATTGAAAACCGAAGGGATTTGCAGCACATTGTCGAAAGTTGGCCTTTCGTCAAAAAGCGCCTTGTGACATCGCTTGGTTTTGAAGCGAGGTGAAGAGTTTGAAGAATACCGCAGAGTACAACAAGAGACCAACCATGAAGAAGGGCCATCTGCCTGGCTTTCCAGAGGGCCTTTCTGGGGCGAGAACTAGCAGTAAACCCAAGAAAATAAAACACCCTTTTTCGTGCATCATAGGATTTCGCACAAAAAATATATAGATAAATCAAATAATGTTTACTGGGCACTTCCAACTCCAATAGTAGGACTTTCTCATTGATTCCAACCCAATTCTGGACAACCTGCGTTGCAACCATCATGAACACGAGGGTATGTATATGGACGACCCTGCAAAATTGATCAAAATTGCTGCCTTGGACAGCCACAGGCAACAATGTGAGTTGAAACTAATCATTAAATGCAATACAACCTCATAAGTCACTTATTACATTGCTATACACCATATATATATATATATTCTTATATATATATATACACTTTCAAGTTCGGAAATGATCCACTCAGCCGTTTGGCTAGATACAAAGGACGCTGCACAAACAACATTAAAATCATTAAATGTCGTAGACTCATCCGCATCCGTCATCATTTTTATTTATGGGTGGCATTCTTACTAGACTATCCCTAAATGGTCGGTCTATGGCATTTGGGTTTGCCACATTAAATGCCATAAAGTGTTATAAACACATCAAACACACCATATACACACCTTGTCTTTTTGCTTTAAACGCCACGCCTTCCACGGAAAATGAGGAACCAACTCCGAAGGCCAACATGAGTTCGTCAAGGACCTGAACTGCCAATCCAATGTGTGGATGCTGGGTCGCATGCCACGAGATTCTATCTCGCACATACATATGTCCACATACATATCACAAAACAAAATAACAGTAGGAGCACGCAAGGCGGTGGTGGAAGTTTCAAAGATAGGAAACCATCGCGAAAGGTTTGTTGTTGTGATGCATGGACGTCAGAGCAAACTGATGGACCGAAAGGTGGTTGAGGCTCTGGGTCTCTCTCTCTCTCTCTCTCTCCCGCTCTATCTCTCTATCTCTCTTTGTCTCTCTCTGCGTGTCCCTCCTTATCTCTCTATATCTCTATGTATCTATCCCTCTATGAATCCATCTGTCCTTCCTTCCTTCCATCCATCTTTCTCTACCTGCCTAAATATCTATCTATATAATCTGTCTGTCTGTCTGTCTATCTGTCTGTCTATCTGTCTATCTGTCTACCTGTCCGCCTGTCCGCCTGTCTATCTGTCTATCTGTCTATCTGTCTATCTGTCTATCTATCTATCTATCCATCTATCCATCTACCTATCTACCTATCTACCTATCTACCTATCTACCTATCTATCTATCTATCTATTTCTCTCTCTCTCTCTCTCTCTCTTACTCTCTGTCTATCTATCTGACTATCTATCTTTCTGTCTATCTATCGGTCTATGTATCTACCTGTTCTCTTTCCATCTGACTATCTGACTATCTGCCTACCTGACTATCTATCTACCTGACTATCTATCTATCTATCTGTCTGTCTGTCTGTTTGTCTGTCAGTCTGTCTGTCTGACTACCTGTCTATCCGTCTATCTCTCTATCTGTCTACCTGTCTCTCTGTCTATCTGAGGAATCAAAGTATCAAGGTATCAAGGTATCAATCTATCAATCTATCAATCAATCAATCTATCTATCTATCTTTTCCAATCTAATCTAATCTCATCTCATCTCATCCCATCCTATCTATCTATCTATCTAATCTACTCTAAAATCTAACCTAACCTAACCTAATCTAATCTATCTAATCTAATCTAAACCTAACCTAGCCTAATCTAATCTAATCTAAACCTAACCTAGCCTAATCTAATCTAATCAATCTAATCTATCTATCTGTCAAGGTGGCTATCTGACCATCTATCTGTATATCTTTCTATTAGTCTATCTTTCTATCCATCGGTCTGTCTGGGGGAAAGAATTCTGCCAGACTTCCTCCAAACGTGGAAGTTGACAGGTCCAAAACGCAGCAATTCTGCGAGACTTCCTCAAAATTTGACGGTGACAACATCAAAAACGAAGCAATTCTACACGACTTCCTTCAAAACTGGAAAAAGTGCAGGGCTAAGCTGGCGGCCTCGGGCCACTGCGTCTTGCGATTTTTCCACTCCGTCTGTCTAAAGTAATTCCCACGCCTGCCACGAAAAAGAGAGGCCAGGTCATACGAAGTGCTGTGCCTGTCACGCAAAACATCTTAGCAAAGCTGAAAATCTGGTGCTCCAAAATGCGACCCTTCTCAGGAAATCAGCCCCCTGACCTCCGAACATCGTTGATAAAAATATCTCTTGTACTGCGCCTGCCACGTGACATGCATGTTTGCGGATCCTTAGCAAACGTACCATGCCTGCCATCTTTTTGTGTCTGCCACCGTTTTGCTCACTTTTGACAAGGTGCAGAATTCATGGCGCCTGCCACGCAAAATGACGATTAACCGTCCAAATGTGGTCCAAACATCTGGCGTTTTTACCATGTTCACTTTGAAATGTGCTTCGCACCCCAGTCGCGTGCACTTTTTCAACGCCTCAACGTCCAAAAGTGGTCCGAGACCGTCAGTTTTAAGACTTTTGACTTCGAAATGTGCTTCGCGTCACAGCGGCGTGCAAAAGTGCTCCGGAGCTGAGGTGTTTTTAACATTTTGACTTCCAAATGTGCTTCGCGCCACAGCGGCGTGCGCTGTTTGAACATCTCAACATATCTCAACTTCCAAAAGCGGTCCGAACCCAAAATGTTAACATTTTGACTTGGAAACGCGCTTTGCGCCACAGCCTCATAGCTTTTTCGACAACGTCCAAAAGTGCTCTGAGCCTGAGCTGTTTTGTGCATTTTGACTTCAAAATTTGCTTCGTACCACAACGGCGTGCAATTTTTGATCTCTCATCCCACGAGATGGCTCCGCACCCGCCGCTTTAGCGAGCCTACTTTTCGACCATCCGGAGCAACACATCATTGGAAAAACACAGTGTTTCACGGCTTTTCTACCTTTTCGCGCACTTTGGTCTTCCTTCTTCTGACTCTTTCTCTTCTCTGACTTCTTCTCTTCTGTCTGTCTCTTGTCCGGCTTCTTCTCTTCTGACTCTTTCTCTCCTCTGACTGCTCTCACCACTGTTGCTGCATCTGTCCATAAGTCGGAAGATGTCGGAAGTTTGACTTCTAAACTTCCTTCGAATAGTAGTAAGCTTCAACATATTTCGCCCAGCAGCAATTAAAGTAATTGTTTGCGTCGGCTGCGCGCCAGCCAAAATCCCGAGCTCGATGAGCATCAAGGGTGTGGTGAACATCCAATCCACATAGCCTCGGTCGGCGTGGGCGCGTGTGTCACCCTGTGACGTCAATCATAAATCCTCTTAAAAAAAGTGTTGTTCAAAATGACACAAGCATACAAAAGTATACAAAAGTAACAATCTTTGGGTATTTTAGATGCTTGCAGAATCTTGCAGATTTTCAGTTGCGTCATTGTTCTCCAACTTGCCGCTAAACCAACACTGCACCAATCCAGACATCAGCGCCACGGCACGAATCCAATACACGTGGCCAGCGGCATCCTCGCTGCCCAGGCCGTAGCCGGAAAAGCCCCCATTTGGAAAGGATTTGATGGTTTTCCCTCCGGTAATCAAACATGGCCCAACCGAATATCTCTCCAAACATATAGAGGTTTGAATGGGAAAAATCCACTTGAAATGGTGGATGTGACCCAGCATTTCCGTAGCAAACTGTTTGGATGTTCCATAGCGGGATGACAGTGAAACCGTGGATTCCCACCTTGGTGATGCCAAAGCCCATGGCCATGCAGAAGTAGACGGTGCCAGCAGTGGCTGTGACCTGGATGCGCTAGGTTAACTGGTGTAGTTTTTCTAATTCACCTATAGGTTGGTTGTGTTTACCTTTGGAAATAACATGAAATAACCAGTGGGCCCACAAAGTATCCAAGTCTTATAGATTCTTATTAGATTCTTACAGGCATTTACAGGCTGAACAGGCTGATGAATAGAAATCTTAGTAATCCATTCCCCCCCAAATATCAAGATTACCCTAAAATCCCCGGGCGCTGGAACCGTTGATCCCACTGGCCTACAGCATTTTCGTATCAAGAGGATGTGGCTATCAAACCATCCATTTCTATCCATTTCTTAGTTTCAATAGTCTTGAATAGTCTTGATATCTTTTGATCCATATCCACATGATTCCACATGACACCTCAAAACATGGGATCCCAACTATGTTTTCTGCAACTCACAAAGTCTAGATGTCGATATTCAAGGTCAATGACTGTTCAGTTCAGTCAGGGTCTATCAATACGAACCTCGGCAACTAGTGAAAGAACATTGGAAGAAGCACATCCATGCCGGTGTAACCCAAAATTTTGCGACGCAATGCCCACTCTAAACCCAATGTTTTCTGGGACAAAATGGTGATTGCATTGTAATTAGCCAAGTCTTCAGCTGGTTGGTGGTTGAGCCACCCCTCTGAAAAATATGAAAGTCAGTTGGGGTTACTATTCCCAACATATGGAAAAATAAAAAATGTTCCAAACCACCAACCAGTCAGCTTTGGAAAACCCCTCATCTTTCTGTGATTTCGTCGCCGTCAGTCTCCCGCTGAGGCCCTGGCCAGAAGCGCAATCCTCAGCTGACATGACCAGAAGTGCCTGCTGAAATGACAAAAAAGGGTTGCCAAGGTGCTTGTTAAAGTTGGTGGTGATGGGATTGCCCTTCTGAACCTTGGTGGCGACTCGTTCCTGTGTGATTCACCATCACCCAAAGGCAAAATGTGCTAGCAAATATGATGACTGACACCCATTGGAGCACTAGAATGTATATGTTTCAAATCCAAACATATCTCAACTATCAACTCAGCGCCTCCCAGCCAGGGCTCATAGCTCATCATGAAGAGACTGATGAAGGAAAGGACGAAGAAGGAGCATGTCAAGGACAGCACCTTGGGTACTGTGTTTCCACATGTTTCCACTGCTCCACCTCTGGAAACGAAGCTTCAAAATCAGTGGCACGAGAAAACAAGTAGCATGTCCTCCAAGCACACAATCAACAACACAGCTACATCTTCAATGCAGCATCTCATCAGGCTTCATCCTGTCTCATCGTTTTCTGATTGCGCTACATGATCAACACAGATTCCCGGTTCATGGATGAATACCAGCCCAAAATTTCAATAATTTCCAAAATGGGCCCAACATATTGGATAGTATAACCTCCAAACAAATCATCAACCAGCCATCAGGTTTCTTTAAATCCCTTTGTTTGATGGCTATCCTCTGGTCATTCAACAGTTTGCCATTCAAAAAACGACATTCTTGCAGGTCCTTGAGCTAAATGGATTATTTCTTCCATTTACCAAATCATATAATTGTTCCAAGAAATCCCAACAAATCCCTATTGTTCAACCACAAGAGCCCCCGGAACGAATCATTCACCAACCTCCTCTTCCATGGCACCGCCTGATTCAACGCCGACACCTCCACTTCCACCATGGCGACCACAGCGACTCAAGGCTTGATAAATGAAGCACTGCGACCCGACGGCGGTCGATCATGGTCGATCCCTGATCAACTTGTGGCATCCCACAACGGAGGTCAGCATTTTGCGGATGGAGGCTGAAACAGATTGTAACAAGAAATTGGGATTCGGTTTGAACACGACAATGTATAATATATATATATGTATAATGTATATACGTGTGTATATATATAATTGTAATGAGGGATATATACTATTATAATCTATTATATGTATCTGTGATTTCTACATGTATTACTCTACTTCACACGCAAAGCTTTGTCACCGGGTTGCAAAAAAAAGTAACTGAGTCTTGGATCTGCCTCTCCCACCTTGAGAGCCTACCACCTAGCGCCCCTTTGCCGTGACCCACCAAGTGTCGAACCAAGCCATGGAAGTTTCAGGCTCTACCACTGGACCATGACTAGTTTATACTAGTTTAGTTCTCTTTGATTCTTGGCGACTGATGAGATCGGCACTTTGAAACTTCAGTTCTGCTAGTGGTCTGTTGATTTCCTGATTTCCTGCCACTTATCATACTTATCACTGAAGCTGCTTGGTCCTGAGCTGTTCTGGGAACAGTAGCTTTATTGCAAACCACTGAGTTGCACGGACTCTCCATCGAGGTAAGCCAGGTAAGCTGCTCGGCCAGGGAGATTCGTCATGTGCTGCAGATCGACTTGGCAAAAGGCGATTTTGAAGGATCCCCTTTTCAGCCCTTCTCATTCTCCAACACTGCCAAAATCTGCCAAAGCTCTGCAGCTTCTCTATTTCTCAAGGCGTCTAATGGTGAGTGAAGCTACAGCCGCAAGAAACGCCACCATAAATTCCACCACATGAGTCCTTGCAAAATCTCAACAGAGTTGCTAGCTGCTAGTGACTACTTAAAAGTATCAAATCCCATTTGACCCTACGGTGGATGGGCCAGCGAAGTCCTGCACCAGTTGATAGCTGGTAAACATCCCATTATTTGTTTGGGTTTCAACCATCCAAGGTGATGCAGGATTTCTCAACCATGCACAGTATTTCGATAAAATGCCAAAATAACAAACCGGCATGTTGCCTCCAAGGTGGATGCATTTTCTCGCAGCTCTTGAAAAACTGTGCGCGGGAGAAGCTGACACATCCTTCAACAAAGTTGAATCTGGAATATCTTTTAATATGTTTTGATTACATTAGTATACATTACTATTAATACCTGGATATACCTGGAACATCATTTCGATTATGTTTCATTCCTTGTTTTACAATCAATCAGTGGCGGTTTCCCCAAGAAGTCTGGCTTCGCTCATGTCACCTTCCAGGCAGAAAACGGCCGAAAACTTGCCAGGCGGATGCCTTCCTGGGGCATCTCTGTGGTCTTCAAGCGCAAAATTGGGACTCTGGCAGGCTTTCATTATTTTCGATTCATTTAATGCATTTTAAACTTTTCGATTCATCATTTATCATACATACTCTTGTCTTATCCTTTTTGATAACTTGTTGATATGGAGAGATTTTTTCAGCGCAAACGGTACTACCTTTTCAGGGTCTCTATGGATCAAGAGTCATCACTATGTCAAAAAACCTGGCTGGAACAGCATCTCAAACATGATCGAAATAAAAGATACCCTCCAGTAAATTAACATAGACCCTGCCAGATAGGGGTTGGAAGATGAGTTTCTATTAAAACATGTTATTTTCAGGGTCTATGTTTCTTTACCAGAGGTTGCAAAAAAATGACACCAGCCAGTTTAATTTTTGTGTTTTGTATCAGAAGATCTCCTAATTTTGGCTGGTGATATTCCCCAGTGGGCTGAAGCTCAGATTTTGAAGCTCACGCCCGTGAGCTGCTCGGATTTGCTCCACAGCTCCTGGCCCCGGCAATGGGCAATGGCAATGGCCTATTACTATAGTAAATCGGCCTACGATTTATGGATATTTAATGATATTTATGGTATCGTGGTATCCATGGCATCCAGTGCTTATATGATCTTATATGAACAATGTCCCCCTCCGGTTCGATACCATTCAACCTATGCCCACTGAACATATTTGAGCATGACGGCGGCGGCCGATGTCCCCTGTTTTTCTGGACATGTCAGGGTTGACCGATGTGAGACGAGATGACACCCGAGTCTTTGCGCAGCGCATGCTGCAGGATGTCGAACAAATGCTCCGCTTGCGACGTGGCGGCCTTGGGTGACGTGTGTCATCCAGAAACATTGGCATAGAAGTCTACGAAAAAATAGGACCCATAGAAATCTAGAGGTGATACGGTGGATCAACAGTAGGACCCGTGTGGAGAGACATTCTGTTCGCTTGAACTTCTTTGAACTCAAGAAGTCGACATAGAATTCTGTAGATCCATATCGCGGTTTTTGTTCCACTACAGAATTATTCCCACAGAAACCATGCTTTAAGTCCAGGATTTCAAGGTTAACCCATCCCCAAGGTGTGGTTTGTCTTTGATAGATCGTCGGCGTACCCTATGAAATTGTGTGTGCCCCTACTTGGAATGATCAATTTCACAGCCACTTTGGCTGATCAGTGCTGCTCATTTGGGAATGGTTTCCGCTTGTGTATCCCACTGCTAAATGATTAATTAGTTATCAAACATGCTTTAGTGTTTCTCGATAATTCCGAATCATCATTTTTCTCGAACTTGATTGTGAAACTAATGAAGCTCAAGCGCTCTATGAGACTCTACATGTCAACTCTGTGTTTTAACCATGAATTGACATGAGCTAGCCCACCGTTTACCCAGCCCCACTTACGTCAGTTACAGCTCGTTGCCAGGTCGCGGGCAAGGCCACCACGCCCTCGCCGTTCTGCGCGAAACCTGCCAGTTCGAGAAGTCGCTGCGCGGCGCTGCGGCCGCGGCCAAAGGTCTCCTTTTGGAGGGGACAACTTCATGTTTGATGAGATAATTTGAGATAATATGAAATAATCAATTATATATGTACGTGAATAAAAACATAATTATATGTAATTATATGCAATTATATTGTATATATATAATTATATAATGATACGTTCCGGTAATCCCCGAACTACATGGAAGTACATGGAAGTTCAATGAAGTTCATAGCTGGGAAAATCATGGACCTGGTGATTTTTCCACTGCCATCTTTGATTGGCAGAGGGTACTCCTCAGCCGGTGAACCTTAAAAACATTGACCAAGGTGTCAGGGTTCTTTTTGAAATTAGTAACCCTCACCTGATTTTCATGCAAACATGTTCCAAAAACAGATATCAATGGACGATTTTCCGTGGCACGGCATTGGAAAAACGTGTCACCAGGGCGATTTCCATTGAGACCAGACCTATATATTCAACCCAAAACCATCGAAAAACTAGGATTTAGATGGGGAATTTCTATTCATTGCAAGTGCATAACCTATGGTCAACTACAAAGGTAGAAGATTTTCCCAAATATGGATATAGACAGGGGTGAAATGTCCCATACCAACATCACCGGACCAAAAGGTTCGGGGAATCACATCGACCATGTCAAAATCAATTTCAAAGGCTCAGAAAGTGACCTGTACTGATGGATTGTGTCTGGATGTTAATTTAGACACGTATCTAATCATAACAAATCAATATACATTTCTCCATATTTGTTTGAATTTAGTAGATGAACAAGTAGATATGTTTTGGATGGGGCTGTGACATGAATTTTGGGGCACTGTCATCGCTCCTACAAGAATGGAACAAAAAATCAAACCACAATCTACAGTAGCTGACTGTGAATTGTAATATAATTTCGGTTGAAAAACCAACCTTTGGTTGGGTCTCATATTGCCGGATTCAAAAATAAATCCTCTTACCTGGAACGAAACGACCTTAGGTCACTGAGAACGGGGACCTTCAAATAAATTGGTTTCCCCTCTTGAAAATAGCAAATGGTTTTTGAATCGGGCATTTTGCTGTATGCACTGCATATCCCACTAGAGCCCGCTCATTCTGCGGTTTTAAAACCCAGTGAGTGAACACTTACGAACCAGCGGCTAGCCAGCTAACCCTTTATCAGTCTCGAACAGCTGCGATAAAATGGGATGATACGTGAATAAATGTATCAATATATATAAATATAAATATATATATATGTATAAACAAATAAAAAAATAAATGCACACTTTTACATAAATAGATATATAATTACTATATATATATATATCTATATATTTGCTAAACCCAAAAGGTCGCTGCGGCCTATTCTTGAAGATATTTAGACGTATTGAACGTGGGGGGGCGTACGGCCATCTCAACGAGGGTACGGCGGGGGTGCGAACGTGCGAACGGGGGGGAACCGGGGGGGGGGACGGGGGGGCCGAACGGGAGGGCGAACGTGGGGGCGAACGTGGGCGAATGTACGCACGTACATACGTCGTACGTGCACGCACACACACACACTGATGCACACACGTACGCACATACGTACGCACAGACGTACGCACGTACGTTCGCACGTATGCACGTACGTACGTACCATGTTCAGACCCATGTTCAGGCCCATGTTCAGACCCATGTTCAGACCCATGTTCAGAAATAAGGTTACCTTTGAAAAGTGACCTCCTAATACTAAATATGCTTTAGGAGGCTTAGGTTCGTACAGAAATAAGGTTACCTTTAAAAGGTAACCTTATTTCTGAACATGCATGTGAACGTGCGTGCGTACATGCACATGATCGTGCGTGCGTGCATGCGTACGTACGTGCGTATACATGCGTATGTGCGACCCCTTCGTGCGACCCCTTCATGCGACCTCCACCCTTACCTTCACGTTCGATCCCTCGTTCGCCCCTCGTTCACCCCTCGTTCGCCCCTCGTTCCCCCCTCGTTCGCCCGTCCGCTCGCCCCCCTGCTCGCTCGTGCGGGCGACGTTCGCCCGCATGTTCGCCCCTACGTTCGCCCCCCCGCTAACCCCTCGTGCGGGTTTTTAACATATCCACGGCAGCAAGGTTTTGAGTTTAGCTAATCTATATATGTAAATGCTATGCATATATAAATATATATATATATGCATATGTACATGTATTTGTATATAGTACATATATATATTTGTAGTATATATATATATATTTGTAGTATATATATATATATATTTGTAGTATATATATATAGTATATATATATATACTACATATACATATATATACACTATATATATACTATATATATATATACTCTCTCTCTATATATATATGTATACACTATATATATATACTATATATACTATATATATACTATATATATACTATATATATACTATATATATACTATATATATACACTATATATATACTATATATATACTATATATATACTTTATATATACTATATATATACTATATATATACTATATATATACTATATATACTATATATATACTATATATACTATATATATACACTATATATACTATATATACTATATATTCTATATATACTATATATACTATATATACTATATATACTATATATATAGATGTATACTGCATACAATGTCCCACTTCCTCGCTACATGGCCCACCTCCAGAAATTCTCCCAGTGAACCCCCAAAAAGAGCTCCTGAAACCGTGCGCTCTTCACGTTCACCTCGCGCGATTTGGGCCCGCTGAGCGAGTTCTGCAAGATCAAGGACAAGGTCTGCCTCGGGGGCGGGCACAGGTCAAATTTGCTACCAATGTCCATCAGAAGGATTTGACCGCCATGTCAAATTCCGAGTTTCCAACCAAATACCATCCCTTCCTAAGTTTCCTAACCGAAGGAAGTTTAGAAGTCAAACTTCCGACAATATGGACAGATGAAAAGCAGAGATGGGAAGAGTCAGAGAAGAGAAGAGAAGAGAATAGAAGAGAAGGAGAAGAGAAGGAGAAGAGAAGGAGAAGAGAAGGAGAAGAGAAGAAGAAGATCAAAAAAGAGAAAGTTTCAGAAGAAAGAAGATCCAGGTGCGCGAAAAGGTAGAAAAAAGTCGCGAAACACGGTGTTTTTCGAATGATTTGTGGCCCACGAGGGTCGAAAAGTAGGCTGGCTAAAGCAGCGGGTGCGGAGCCATCTGGCCAGATGAGAGATGAAAAATTGCACGCCGTTGTGGCGCGAAGCACATTTCGAAGTCAAAACGTACAAAACACACCATTCTCAGACACTTTTGCAAGTTGAGATGTTGAACAAGTGCATGCCGTTGTGGCACGAAGCACATTTCGAAGTTAACATGTACAAAACACACCACGTTCAGACCAATTTTGGAAGTTAAGATGTTCAAAAAGTGTGCGCCAGTGTGGCGCGAAGAACATTTCGAAGTCAAAAGTGCAAAAAACTGCGGGGTTCGGAGAACTTTTGGACATTCAAATGTCGTTTTGCGTGGCAGGCGCAAGGGATTGTGCACATTGCCAAGAGTGAGCAAAACGTGAGGTTTTGTAGCAGTTTCAACTACAACCACCACTACACTACACTACACTACACTACACTCCACTACAACTACAACTGCAACTACCACTACCAACCACTACAGTACACTACATTACACTACACTACACTACTTACATTACACTTCACTACACTCAATTATATTACACTACAAGTACAACTGCAGCTACACTACGTTACATTGCACTACGCTAATTACATTACACTACACTACGCTAATTACATTACACCACACTAATTACATTACACTACACTACACTACATTACATTACACTACACTAACTACAACGACAACGACAACGACAACTACACTACATTACACTACACTACACCACACTACACTAACTACAACTACAGCTACAACTATGCTACTTTACACTACACTACACTGCACTACACTACACTACACTTGACCACACTACACTACCCTACATTACATTACACTACACTCATTACATCACCATAAATGCAACTGCAACTACACTACACTAATTACACTACACCACAACTACAACTCCACTACACTACAACTACAACTACAGTTGCGCTACAGCACGCTACATCCAGCAGTTGTGGGTGAGGTCTACTGCAACCATTGCATCCATTCTAGCAAACACAACTCCAACCACCTTTAAGTCCATCAGTGGATACGCTCTGCCATCCGTGATTCACAACAACCAACCTCTCCTATAGGTTTCCTGTTTTTGAAACTTCCGCCACCGCCTTGTGCGGTACTACTGGTATAAGTAAATCGCAATATACCACAATTTTTGATGCAATTTTGCCCCTCCCAAATAGATAGATCCTTATAGATCCAGGTCCAATATTTCACCAGGGTTCGTTTGAGGTGGTATGTATGAGGATGTATAGCACTCTCCGCAACAAATCAAAAACATATAAACATATAAAAACATATAAAAATGCAAGTTATTCCTTTTTGAATAGGATTTGACCTCCTCTTTCTTTTTCGGGAATACTACAGGCAGGTATTTAAACCACAAATTCGTGACCTCTGAGGGCTATGAATTCGACAGGTCACAGGGAGCGCTTTGCACCAGGCCGATCCCCATGGAAGTCTGCCAGCAGTTGACCCAAGGTGACTTCCACCTGGATCCCGGCCGTTTTCTTGGCAGAAACAGTAGGATAAACAACATTAAACAACCCAATTTCCATGGTTTTCATGAGCAAACCACGATGCAACATCATGCTACCGGGCCACGTCTTGGAACCACTCCTGAAGCTTCTTGGAATCCTGGTGGGCACACAGCACGCGCGATCAACTCTTCACGGCTATGTGTTAAATAAACATCTGCAAGTTTTACTGGAAAGGTGAGCAACCACCGACAGCAAATCACAGAGTGTCTGGAAATCGTGTAAATATGTGTATATCCATGAAATATTAGGAACAAAAAAACTATAGCCATATAACACCATATAAAACCATGTAAAACCATCATTTATAGCCATATAAAACCAGGAAAAAGAGCATCGAAATGGGACACCATGGGAATCACCCGAATCCATCGAATCACAGAGATTCCTCGGGGGTGCCCGACGTTGGAAAACCATGGCTGGCCACCAGCGATCGCAACAGCTTCCTGGCCGCCATGGTCTGACAGAGTTTAGTGAATGCAAAGCCAAAAAATCCCAAAGTATGATGAACACATGGGCAAATCCTGTGGAAAAAATCTCGCAAACTATTGAGTCAAGTAGGAACTTCTATCAGAACTACGGATTGAAAGTGGAACCATCACCAAGACCAAGGGAAGTGACCCACATTTGCAACCACCAAAAACAGTTTCTCGCCATGGTTGAACCATGGTTTTCTCGCCGAGCGTCCAAGAGTCAGGTGCAATTTCCATTCCTTGGCAGCGGCAGCTCATGAGGATGAGTATGACGACGACGACAATGATCAGGATCAGGATGATTGTGGTGAATATCATGGCTATGATGATGACTATGACTATGACATCCTCTTCTAGGTAGGTTTGATGATACCCAAAAACAAACACTTTCCGCTTTGGATTGTCCCCCTCCCGATGGATATATATATATACACATATTATTGAAGGCGACTCTTGAACAGAACATGGTAGAGGCCTAAATCATCCTAAATCTCCATACATATCTATATAGTATGTTCTAAACATAAAGAATTATACAAAGAATGAGGATGAGGGGAACTGGCAATTCCAGAACAAAGCCTGACTCTCGACCATCCTCCTGACAATTTTATACGTATATCTATGTCTATATTAGTCTATATATATATATGATTATATATGAATTCCACTTGCGAAAGCACCTAGCAACCAACTGTCGCCCACACAAGCCCCTCAAGTGCAACGCTTTGGTAGTCAAACATGGCTAGCTGGAAAACCTCTGAAAATCCACTGCCCATGGCTAGTTTGGGGATTTCGCAGTGGCCCGCCATGTTCCAAGTGTCGCTTTCCTTTCTTCCGCTGTGCTTCTTCCAATCCCCTTTGAAAGTCAGAAGCTGACATCCTGAGAAGACCGTCATTGCAAGGTCAGAGTCATGGAACTGCGATCGAACCAGGAACAACACCTCCAATTTTGTTGTGAATTGGATGAAAAAAACAATCTTACTCACACACACGCACACTGCTGAGAGTAATTACTTACTCTGAATTGGAACTTCATGATGGTGACGAAATCGATGCCTTGAAGTTTCCTAGGTCGAATTCCTGTCAAGAGAAGTACATATTGTTTCAGAACTAATCAACAGTGGAAATGCGTTCCGGTTCTAGGCTTAGCCGGTCGCCATCACGAAATTGGACATCAGCATTCAGGAAAAAAAAGGTAATTTCGCAGAGTTGATCAAACTCTGCGTCCAGCACAAGTGGATAGCTTCGTTGGGTGAGTCTCCACTGCCCTCTGCACCCCTCTAAACATGTAGAATTGGTCACTGATTTCAATTAAGAAATTCTTACCCGCATGACAATTAGCGGGTTACACACACAAGCACACACACACACATATATATATATATGCACATATGTATATATAATATACATGTACATAACATATCTGTATATATATATATATATATTTGATTATATATATATATGCATATATGGCAAATATATATATATAATTATATATGTATAACATTGTATAACAGTATAACATATATCAAAATAGATGTGTTTTGCAAAATATGTGCATCTGCAAGTCTCTGGTACAAGCGTTCCTGCTGCTCTGCCGATCGCCTCAATGAGGCCGTCGCCTCACGGGTTTCGGCAGAACCGGAGACTAGGGCGGCCATGAGCCTCGGCGGAGGTTTTTCCAGATGATGTGATTTTTTCATGGGCTTTAATGGGAAATTCATGGAAAAATCATGGGACGATTATGGGATTTTATGGGTCATTGAAATTGCATCCAGAGTTTTGATTGGGGACTATACTCTCTGGTAATTTGACAGTTTGCCATGGAACATTTGCCATGAAAGTAGATGATGTGCCTATGATGGTCATGTTCCATAGCTATATTAAATAAGCAAAGGGTTTTTGGTTGAGTTTGACTGACCCGAAATCAAATTGACATATGGAAATCAGAATTCAAAGGGAGAAACATATGAAAGAAATGACCGCAGCGGAATTGAATGGAAACCAAACTCAAGCCGCCGCTCAATTGGAATATCAGCAGTTTGCACCTACCATGGGGAAGGTTGGTTTTTGGAAGGGTCCTGTGCAAACATGCTCCTATCACATCAATCTGCCCAATTTTCCGCCACAAAACCCCTATCCGCCAGCCCACCCCAGGTACTTCAACAGTTCAACAGTTCAACCTAATTAAACAATATCACCAAATTTACTTGCTCTTAGCCAGGATTAATTGACTCGCACCATTCTATGTAATTTTCCCGATCTTGGCTGGTGAAACACCATTGTCCTGAACACCGGCAAGTTGGGACCCTGATGGACCTTGACCTGGTTAGCTTTTGCTCAGTAAGGAGGGCTGCATTCAGACTCAGCAGCATGACCTTCACCCCTTCACAGGCTGCGGCAAGGTAATGATCTTTAAAGCATGGGGTTCCAATGTTAAATCATATCGAATCAGATTACCATCTGGTAATCAAACATGGCAATGGAACATCAGTCATTCATAGATTTTCTCACTTGAATGCCAATTCTAGCAGGGCTCTGATTGCCAGAAGGTACAATCTGGCATAACATGAAAACGATATTGAACCAAATCAGATTAAAACCATATCAAACCATATTATATAAGCCATTATTAAATGCCATACAACCAAAAAACAAAAACTAACATACATATGTAACGTATTTATAAAACTTTATATATGTAAATAATCCCAATCCTCTTCTCTGGCCAGGCCACTCTTTCAGCTTCTGCCGTTCCGGGTCCACCAGCGCTGCGGCCGCCTCCCGTGCAGCCAGCGCGTTTTGGCGCTGCACCGTGGCAGCACGGCGCCAGGCGAAGAAACGCAGCAGTAAGGAGACGGCCATTCCAATGCCAAGGCCAGACCTGGGTCAACAACCCTGGTACCCGGATTGTACCCTAAATGAATGGTTCTTCCCCCAAACAAATATGGTTAAAATACGTTAAAATAGGTTGTCATCCCGATATTTAGCACCAAACACGGATAAAGCAACCATTTTTAACCACCAAACATGGAGAAGCCGCCATTGTATGAGTTGTTCCAGATCAACGGTATGAGATGGGCAGCCATTGGTCAGAAGCGATAATGGGGATGTTGCTTAACTTGGATGTAGGCTTGTACATCATGATTCACATAGACATAGACATAGACACACACACACACGCTCTTTGTCTCTCTCTCTCTCTCTTTCTCTTTGTCTCTCTCTCTCTCTCTTTCTCTCTCTCTCTCTCTCTCCCTCTCCCTCCCTCCCTGTGTCTCTTGTTTGGCCGATGTGATAGAAGTGCACCGGCATCATATTTGGCATGACATGACCCAGCAATTTCCCTCCAACTTTGAGACGTGCAGCAGGAGCAGAACCCACCAGGGTGCCAACCTCCGTCTTGGCTTGGTCAGGGCATACCACGCCTCAGCACAGGCTGCGAGCCCGTGACATGTGCATTTTCCAAACGTCGAGGAAATATTTGTCATTTTACGGGAACAAAGCTTGGGCTATTGAATGCAACCATCTCAACACTCAGTATCGACAGGTGTCACATCAGGATTATGAGTCCTCCAAGCTTGTGCGCGCAACTAGCCCAAAGTTGAGCGATTGGGATAGAACAGCAGGCTATTGAGCGATGGTGGCAAGCATTCAAAAAGTTTATTCCTGTGACTTTGAACCGCAAGTTGAAATCAAAGGACCATAGTGGCTTGCATCCACATTTTCCTTTATATTTGTATAGATGTGTGTTTTTTCCTAGCCACAGGCTGAATGGTCAAACACAACGCAAGAAGCACTGAGACATCTGACCTCTCTATTCTGACAAAACAAGCAGCGACCCGACTTAGCTCTGAAAATCAAGCAATTATCCGAAGGCCATAAGAGTCAACTCCAGAACAGCTATAATTCGACAAACACCAAGAAAAACATAAGGTTACAATAAGGGACATCTTAAACTATCTTAAACTCATAGTTCTCAACTGGTATGACTATTTACTCCAACATTGTTCATAGCTAAAAACCATTAAAAACCCACGTCCAAGGCACGTTGGGCCAACCCGGCAGCACCGGCGGACCTTGGCTGGGCCCCGGCACGGGACCCCCCGTCAAGGCTCGGCGGAGGGCTTCGGAGACTTCGGATTGGCTCAGACCTTTCTGGAAGAGAAAATCCTCTTTGTCCTGAGCTGGGTGTGAACTACCCCAAGCTGATTTGAGTTTTTTTTGAGTTTGTTTTATGTTTTTGACCATGTTTTTGTTGTGCTTGTGTTTTTGCTTGTTTTTTTTTCTCTCCTTCTCTCTTTTTCTCTGTTGATTTAAAGGTTTTTAAACGGATTTCCAAAGATTTTTTTCCTATGCATTTGAAGAAATTCCCAAACATGGATCCAGCAAGAAGATGTGATGAATTGTGGTGATCTCTGGTTGAGCTACTCATCTCATCTCAACATACTTGTCAATTGGGATCATCATCCGATTGGTAGGGTTGAAAATAACACCTGTTTCAAACACACAACAATTCTTTGCGATGTCGCATAGGATAAGGCAATGGTGGAGGTACTGTGCTCTATTTGGAGGATTACCCGATCTCAGCTGGCAAGTTAGCATAGTTGTAACTTGTAACCTAATGGCCAACCTCAGGGGCCTATCCCCTAGGGTTCTTAACCACCTGCTTACTTTGGTTATTTGCTCTCTGTGTGTGTGGGTGGGATGATCAGGATATATCAGGATTACAGAACATGTATTGTTGTAGACCCGATGATAAACTTCCAATTGTTGATTCTTTATACCATATACCGCCCATTCATGGATATTTATGGTAGTACTAGGAATATGGGGTACAGGTTGTAGTACACGGTACAAGTATGTACAAGTATGGGTTATGGGCTTAGCACATTCACCAATCTCTTCCTATCTCTGCAGCGCAAGCTTCTGCGATCCAACCCCGAAGCCCCCGATCGTGGGTCAGAAACGTTACCGCTGCGGCCACCTGATCCTCCCTGAACGCCATGGCGTCCAGCGCTCCAGGAAAACGCGCTCCGCGTTTCGCGAAAATCAACGGTGCAAATGGTTGAGCTCCAGGATCCCAAAAAATGTGAGGGATTCGCCAAGAAGGTATGGGGTTGATTGGGGTTGAGGGATTTGACGCAAGAAACAGGTGAATCATTGCAGATCGTTAGGACAAAACACTTGGGGGATGCCAAGATCGGGTCACAAAATAGAACCTTGGGCATGTTTTCAACTTGGGACATGTGAGCCAAGGCATTCCGAATGGCACGGTGTTTTGTCATCGGCAACCGGAGATCTTTTGCTCCTGATGGTTTTTTGGAGGTCCTTGAATGGTCCTTGCACACTGCACTTTCACTGTAAAGCTGGGGCAAAGGCATTTTCTCAATTTTTCATATCGTTGATGTCTTTCGCTTCGAGCCTGAAGGAGTTATAGAACGAGTAAAGCACCTTTCTCTCCGGTCCGGAAAAATGGATGTTGTATCATGTGAAAGCACCCGACGGATTCAATCCTAGTAACATATAGTTGCAGTATTGTGGCCCACCAAGACTATAGTTGAGGTGAGTTTACGACAGTTTGCCAGTTGTAACTATCTCACTGTTCGATTCTGTTGAACCCAACTGACCCAACCTTAGACTGCCCCGACTGGGAGACTCCCAGCCCAACCACTTCAGACTCCTTGGCCAATGCTTTGTCATTGGCCACCGGATTCAACAAACCTGGCGTTCAGTTGTGATATCCAAAACAGTGACTTCTCAAGACTTGTGACACATCCTAATCCTACTTGCTTCATAGGTGTTCCATGGTGTTCCCATCATAATATTGCTTTTTCTCTTCTCTCATTTCTCTCTCTCTCTCTTTCTTTCTTGCCATGGCCTATGGCCTATGGTCACCCTTCTTTCAATATAACCCTAATCATCATTCTTTCAATGTAACCTAAGCGACCACCAACAGGGGTCTTCCAAATCCAGGCTCCCTTCAAAGATTCTGGTAACTCGCTCGGCCTGGTGCCATATTGTCGAAGTACCTTTAGCACCACAGAAGCCCCGTGGAGCAGTTCCCTCTCTCTTTCGATGGTTTTGGCAGCCACTCTCCACTCAACTTGGATTCTTCACCGACCTTTCTTGGGCATTTTGGACTTTAATCCAATGGCTACTCTCCTACCCTCCAACTTAGCAAAAAAAAGAGATGTTTCCACCAACATCTCCATGTCTAGGGGATTTCCCAGCCAAATTTGATTACCCAAGGGTAGACATATCATATCCCAATAAATCCCAGATTTCATCACAATAAATCCCATCGATTTTGCCAAAGACAGTCTCCATTTCCTCCCCGGAACAAATCGCCAGGCCACTCTCCCCCGGATTTGTTGTAGCCACCGTCCCCGCCAGCAGCAAGATACACCTCCGAAAAGGGAAAACCATCGGACCAGTGGTTGTTTACTGTGGAGGCTCATCCCATGGCTCGTAACTGGTTAGTAATTATACCTTCTAGCTAGTAGTCCATTAATAAATGGCATAACCATGCATAACCCCCCTTTTTTTTGGAGGTTCCTGAAGTTCCTTGATTTTCTCTCCGGGCTAAGAGGTTTTTGGATGTTTTGTGGTAGCATTTCTGTGTGTTTTTTGTCGGCAGTGCTGGCCACATCCAACAGGTCCAAACTTGTTCTGAACACCTGAAACACCGATGATGACCACTTCAATCTTCCTTTTTCATCCTTTTTCTTGTTCCCTGTTGGCAAATCGCATCACTGATACGTGTATATGTATATATATATATGATTATATGTACGTAACATGTATGTACTTATGCATGAATGATTATATATATATAATTCAGGTTCAAATTTAAGATGCTAAAATCACCCTGAGTCGTCCTGGTGTCCTCCGTGTTGGCACCTGGGTATTGGCTCCCAGCTGCACTGTGCGCGTGAGAAATGTGGCCAAAGCGTCAGCCCAAACCGTGTCCTGGGAAGCCCCCTATGGATGGCTATGGGTCATTTACCAAAGCTACAGTTTGCATGGAGAAAAAACATATAAAACAACCAGATGTTGGGATATAACCGTATAACCCCTATATGATTATTATAGTATAGTTGTATATCTACTTATGACTGGAACTGCACCCCAGTTCCGTGAGGGAAAATGACTGAAATCGTAGCACCTTGACAATCTTGAGACGCTGTTAAGACAATAAATTCAGACAACCTCACTTTGGCATCCACTACGAATAACACCCTCCGCTAGAAGAAGGGCGAGAGGAGTCAACAAGGTTGTGGTTGAGGAAGGTTCAAGATGCATTTATGTCTTCAATAGATAAACGCATTTTCCCTTTACCACACATGGATACATGGGGACCAGCTCCAAGTGGGTCCTGGGTCATAAGACCCGTCTGAGATCTTCCCAGATCTGTTGAACATCCTTGAGTATAGAAGTATCCCAATCCTTTTGCTCAAGGCCAAAATTTCTCTCCATGGCATCATTGGTATCACCCAGCCTTTGTGACCCTATTCTTGTGCTGAAAACCTTTCTTGACACGATTTACAACATGACTGGCGACGTCCCCTTAAAACATCTTGAAACTTATATAATTGACACAGGAACCTCATGCGCCTCATGGAACCTCATGGAACCTCATGGAACCTCATGGAACCTCATGGAACCTCATGGAACCTCATGGAACCTCATGGAACCTCATTACATTTTCAGGCAGTATCATTCTCAGGGCCCATGGTTGTGGGATCGTCATTCTCGAGGCAATTAAGCTTGAACCACGTCTCAAGAAACAACTCGAAAACAATCATCTTTAAAAGATGCCAGAAACACACACACAACCAGCCATCTTTTTTTGAAACGCACTTCCCAGCTTTCCCCGTCCTTGCGCAGCTGGGTGGCCTTGTTGGGATCGCCATCGGGGCTGATGGTCCAACGGGCTAAGTCAGTGTCCTCATCTGAGCTGCGAGAAGGAGCATCCTGAAAACCTCTGAAGGAAGGTCATTATTGGGGTACTGTGGGTAAAACAATGTCATAAACCACCCATTTGGGAATGGTTTATATATACCACCTATCTATGGTGATTTGGGAATGGTTTATTATTGTTTTACCACATAATTCCCATACTAACCATCATCTTAGGGTGACAGTCATTTGACGCCCTCACAATTCAGCTAGATGAATGGATTGTCCAGGGTTGCTCCCAACCCCCCTTGTAATACAAGGTGGTTACAATTTTTAAATAAAGAGGTAGAATATGGTAAAATGAGCAATTTTTCCCCCGGCAATCATTCACCTAGGATCTATACTTGCAGCAACCCTGGGATTGGTGCAAGGGATTTGGCTCTCGGAAATCTGGAAATTTCAACCTGGAAATATGGTTTCTTGTAAAGCTTCCCTTGGATCCGTTACCATGGAACTGCAAAAATGATTTTCCCAATGGTTGGGAAGTTGGGAATAGCAATGTTGCGGGTTGCATGATGTTACATGTCGGTTTTCATGTGGCTAGGTGGCAGTTGTTGGTGTTTTTTTCAACAATAGCTGACCATCTGAAGTGCTGTCCATCGGATAGACCATCCCCGATCTCCGATTTTGTGACCAACACGACAAGGCTGTGCAGGTGCAATGTTAAAACAACATATCGATAAAAATGAAGCTCAAATACATATCCATATCCATAAATACCCATAAATATCCATCATATTAGGATATTCAATATATAATCCAGTCTAATCCCCCCAAACTATATATATAAAATTTTATATCCATTATGGAGGACACCCATCGAATCACCGAGCAACGACTCCACCAGGGTGACATGACACGGCCGTGGCCTTCAAACCAGCCTGACGCCATGTAGCTACCAGGATACTATCCACTCTTACTGGATCTTACTGGGATGTATGATGTATACAACTTTATATGCTTTTATGATCTTATATAATATGTATATGATTTCCCTGTCAACCACGGTAATGTTCCGATGTTCGGGTGAAACACTTCACTACAGGCACCCACCACCCTGCTGCGGTTGACATTGGGAGTTAGAAAGGCGCCTCAGTAGTATGTAGAGGGTTTGCTCTTGAACAATTTTTTGGGGATGGAAGGAGCAATCTAGGAGGACTATATGCTAGGAAATCTCGTTAAGCTCTTCTGCTTATGGCCCCGACCTGCATGGGTTATCAATGAGGGTATGGGTGATGTCACCCAAGCGCACCCTGGTGAACAACCGAAAAATGAAGAGAATCGGTATGACTTCATCTGAGTGTTGGATGACGTTTGCTTTACCTTCCTTTTGGTATTGGATCTGTTGGGTTTCTCAGCCAATGGTCAACTGGTGGCTTCGGTCCGTCGGTCAGTGGCTTGAGATCAGGAACAAATCATATATGTCATAGCCAACCTTGTCATACCTTGGCAGGACAGTATATATGAATATGTTAATGGTTGTGGGTCAAAACCTGCCCGGATGGTACCTTAAAAATATATAGCTGGTGAATGGATGTACCATCTGGTTATTTAACATAGCCATGGAAAATGGCCCATAGAAATAGATGGTTTACCTATTAAAAAAGGTGGATCTTTCCATGGCTATGTTAAATCACCAAAGGGTAAACATTCCCCCAGTATGATAAGGAACATTGACCCGTCTCCCGAGGCCCATCCCAGAATTTTCGCTGAGCTCTGAGGTCGATGGGGCTGGGATGCGACTTGGAACTTCCACCCCCTGATGGCCATGAAAAAACATGTCAGGATTGGCTTGAAACTGTTGAACTGTGAGCTAGCCCAAGAATTGGATTGTTGATGATTGTTGGGCAATTTACGATGCAATTTACTGCGACCAAAGTTGTGGACCCCAGACTGTGCCCCAAAGTTGTGACGACCCAAGGGTTGGCTCCAAAGTTGGGCCTCTGGTGACTTGGAAAATCAATGGAGACTTGTACGTATCCAGGATTACCTTGGATTACCTTGATGGTGGTTGATGATTAGTTTTTCATCTTTGGTCCTTTGCATGAAGCGCCGGAATCTGTCTTGTGATGAGCCACCCA